TGGCGAGGTAGTCGCCTGCTGTGTAGGCTAGGTCAGCTGGCAGGTCGAGGATGAGTTGGTGCTTTGCGACGAGGGCGTCGGGGCTGGTCAGAGTGCTGGTGGCGATGGCGCTGGCCTCGTGAAGGTCGTAGTGGAGGATATCCTTGCGCGGGCTGGTGACTTGCACGCTCAGCGCGGGGCCTTCGGGGACAGCAGCCCTGTATCGCTTGGTCAGGGCGGGCCAGAGCACCTCATCTTCCCAGGCCTCGAAGTCGGTCATCTCGTTGCCAGCCGCCACGTCAGTGAGACCCAGCGCGGCGAAGCGCTCCCCTCCGTGGCGGGTTAGGGCTGCGTCGACAAGGCGCGGAATACGGTGGAAGGTCGCCGCCCAGTCGTGGTGACCACATCCAAAGACCGCGTATGAGATGCCCTGCAGTGTAGCTTTCTCTTCTTTCAGCTCTTCGAGCCAGTGGACAAAGCGAGCTGCGTTGTCGGGCGGCTGGCCTTCATACGAGGCAGTGATGAAGACCACCGGCTCGTCGGCCGGCAGTCCGTCGACGGCATTGTCGAGATAATCCACGACACGGGCGCCGAATCCATGCGAAAAGGCGTCCGCAGCCAGCCGCTCCGCCATAGACTGACACGTCCCACTATTCGATCCGTAATAGATGCTCATGGGCTGTCCTTCGGTGCTGGTCGGCACCACGCCATTCAACGCACCCGCTGTGTCCAATTTTGGCTGGGGCGTCGCGCCCGCCAGTCGATGCTCCAACATTGTGGCGGTCAGTCCGTCACGAAGAGTCGCCCGGATCTGGAAGTTGGCCGGCTTGACGGTAAGGGTTTGCTTGAGCGCGAGAGTATACTCCGGGTCGTCGAATTCGAAGTCGAAGTTCTGCAGCAGCATGGCCAGCACCAGCAGCGCCTCCTGCCAGGCAAACGGGCGGCCGATGCAGCCTCGGGTGCCGTTGCCGAAGGGCTTCCAGGCGTTGGGGAATTCTCGGTTGAGACGGTCAAAGTTCTCGTCGAGCATGCGCTCGGGTTTGAATTCGTTCACGTCGGCGCCGAAGACCTTGGGGTCGAGTTGGGAGCGTCCCACAAGAACGATGATTAGCTCCCCGGCGCGAACAGGATACTTGCCGCCCACTATCTCGTCCTCTTTGGCGGCCACGTTGAAGACCGGGAGGGGTGGTGTGAGACGGAGAGTCTCTCGAAGGACCTGCAAGTATCAGTCTCGGTGAGTGCCAGAGCAGACAAGCAACCTACAGCAGAGATATAAGAAAGCTTGCACAAATGCTCAAACCGGATTGGCGTTTTCCCACAAATCTCATCTACCTCCTTCTGCGCCCTGCGGTACATCTCCGGGTGCTTCAGGAGATGATACATGGCAAACGACAGCATGCCAGAGGTCGTCTCGTGCCCCGCAATGAGGAAGGTGATGAGATTATCCAGGATACTCTCCTCGGTCATCTTCTGCCCCGTCTTGGGATCCACCCCGTTCAGCATGGCCGACAGCAGATCCTTACGTGAGTCCAAGTTCTTCTCCCGTTTGCGCTCCTGCAGGATCTCATCTGCTGTGGTGCGCATCACCTCGATATCCCGAAAGAACTTCTTGTCTTTGCCCCGGTAGAAGAAGGCGGGGATGGGCAGCCGGCGCGCGCGGTCACCACTCTCGGTCAGGAAGTCGCTCATGGCGGCGACGAACGGATGCGTACCCTCCTTGTAGTAGCTGTTGAAGCGGAAGTCCATCGAGCACAGGGCGATCGTGTCTAGGGTGAGCCGCGTGAAGTCGTCGGTCACGGTGATGGGGCTGTCCGCGCCGTGGCGCGCCCACTTCATGGCGAGTTGGCTGGCGATGTCGTACATCCCGTCCAGCATGTTGCGCAGCGACGAGGGGCCAAAGGCGGGCACGAGGATGCGGTGCGCGATGCCCCACTTGGGCTCGACTTGTCCGTCGATGGCCTGGAAGATTAGTTTTGTGGGGGTTGACTGGTGGGTGGTGAGGACTTACCGTGAAGAGGCCGTCGTGCATGGCGTGTCGCATTTCCTGCACACCATTAGTTGATGGCACGATCAGACGTACGGAAAGACTGACTCTCAAGGCTGAGATAGTCTTTGGGAAACGTCTCTCGTCGCAGAACTCATTCACCATCGCATAGCTGTTGGCTATGATGAAGGTATGGCCTCCTGGGAAGCGCATTCGATAGATCTCGCCTAGCGTTGTCAGCCCTAACCATAGGCCGTGAAAGAGACAGTCCTACCATGTTTGTCCGCCAGGTCATACAACGACTTCAGCGGCAGTTCCATATCGATATCCAATAAATTGCCCAGAATGGGCCAGCCCGGAGGCTCAGGGATGGCGTTTGGCGTCCCCATTGTGAAGTCAACAGTGTGTTTCGCAAATAGTGGGTATACGAGGTCGGTAGGAGGTTGAGGGGAGGGAGCCTTGATCCGGCCCGCTTCAAATGGTAAACCAAGACCACCAAGAGCAATGAGATCAGTATCGGCACTTCACTACAATTTCCCGAGGTCAGCAAATAGACAAGAAAGTAATCAATGCCCACTTCCGGAGCATCCATGATGGCGCGTCATAATTCCCGAGAGGCAAAAGTCGGGAATTTCTGCTCTGTCCGCAACCCTAACCCGAATTGCCGCGATGCAACTCATCAACTGATGCAATCCTGCTTCTCTTCTTGAGCACAAAGGAATTGGCTTGACACAAGTCTATGTAGCTCCAAGAACCCGGCAGGATAAACGCAAATGTGCATCATGCAACCCATATTATGGACTGTGCTACTCGGCTTGGCTGCTGTCCGCAGTGCAACCATCCCCCGGTCTGCTCCCAATGCCTCCTGCAGGGCCATTCCTGGGGATGCTTCGTGGCCCTCGCTCGAAAAATGGCATGCCCTGAACAGGACGGTTCATGGTCGATTGACTGCTACGATCCCCCTGCCCAGCGTCTGTCACAGCGAGCCGTTCGGTAACTATGACGCGGAAGCCTGCAGTGCCATTAAGACCGCATGGCTAGACGACACAACCTTGTCAGTAATCCTGCCTGCGTGCAAGCCACGTTGCAACTAACGTCTTCTTAGTCTGACCCATCCAGCAGAGGTCATGAACCCCTACGTACAGAACTATACCTGTATCCCCTTCACTCCAGCCTCTCAACCATGCATTCTAGGCAATTATGCCAGCTACTCCATCAATGTCACCGGCGCCAGCGATGTGATTGCTGGCGTAGCCTTCGCCCGGAAGAACAATGTCCGACTGTTGATCAAGAATACCGGTCATGAGTAAGGCCCTAGTTTCCCTTATCGTGAAGACTTTATCTGACCCAGCCAGCTTCATGGGCAAATCCACTGGAACAGGCGGCCTCTCCCTGTGGACGCACAACCTCAACACAACAGACATCCTCTCCTCGTACTCGAGTGCCAACTACACCGGACCAGCCGTCCGACTGGGCGCTGGGGTGATCAGCGGGCAAGTCTACTCCATTCTCGGGGCAGCGGGCTATCGCATCCTGGGAGGGACATGCCCCACTGTCGGCCTGGCCGGGGGCTACACCTCCGGGGGCGGACACTCGCTGCTCAACGGCGCCTATGGGATGGGCGCCGACGCGGTGCTGGAATGGGAGGTCATCACCGCGCAGGGGGAGCACCTCGTCGCAACGCCGGACAACCATACCGACCTATACTGGGCGCTCAGCGGTGGGGGCCCTGGCACCTTCGCCGTGGTGCTCAGCATGACCACCAAGATCTTCGCCGACGGACCCATCGGCAGCGGCCTGCTGTTTTTCAACATCTCTGCCGCCAACCCAGAGCCCTACTGGTCCGCGATCTCCGATCTGTGGCAGTTCCTGCCGCAATTCGTCGACGCTGGCCCCAACACGTGGGACTTCGCGCTGACGGCCACCGGCTTTGAAGCGTACGCGATTACCGTGCCAGACAGAAACGGCACACAAGTGCAAGATCTGCTGGAGCCGTTTCTCACCCGCCTCACCCAGCGGGACATACCCTACTCCTTCACGCCCACCACCTCCCCGAACTACCACGACTACTTCGCCAGCCGGTTTGGCCCGGGCATCGCCGGCGCCGGCCCCGCCACGGTACAGCTGACATCGCGCCTCATTCCCCGCGCCGGGGTGCAGGAAATCATGCAGAACCAAGCCATCGTTGCCGCCCTGCGCGCCGTCGTCGAGACAGACCCAGGCCTCTCGCTGGGATGCCACGCCCTCAATGTGAAGGACATCCCCCACCCAGACAACGCGGTCCTCCCCGCCTGGCGCGATGCCATCGCCACGTGCAACATTGTAAGCTACTGGGACTGGAATGTATCTCCGACCCAAATGCAGGCGCGGAAGGCGCAGCTGGTCGACACGCTGATCCCCGGGCTGGAGAGGGCGACGCCCGGCGCGGGGACATATCTGAATGAGATCGATGCGCAGTGGAAGGGGAATTGGGAGGTCGAGCTGTATGGGAGAAATTACCCAAGGTTGCTTCAAGTGAAGGAGAAGTACGATCCGGGCCATGTCTTTTATGCGAAGACAGCAGTGGGCAGTGCAGCATGGGAGGCCGATGCCGACGGGAGGTTGTGTAGGGCTTAAGGTGGGAATAAATTAAGCAATACTGCTGTCAATGGTAAGATTGGGGGATGCCATGCTTTTCTATAATGGTCTGGAAGAAGTGGCTTTTTTCTAGGGCGCAGGTACCTTAGACAGGTTTATGTTCGGTCTTATTTCAACTATGTAAAAGCTGGTTTAATTGCCAGTCTATACGCTTCAAGCCGCTATGAGAACCAATAATAGAGATATATGAATCAGTTTGTGTAGTAGAATCCTGTCTATCTGGGCTATGTAATCATCCTCTGACGTGGAGCCATTTCATGCCTCTGACTCCAGGGATACCACTGCCACCACCGCATAGCATGCAATCCTTTCCTCAGCTTTCTTCTTTGCCTTCCATCTCACCTTCTCTCTCTTGGTCCAAAGCCAAAGCATCCTTGCTACTCGCCACGAGATCTGCAAGATGCAGACAGAAGATCAAACACTTGCTGAGAGAAAAGCTCGCTGCCGGGCGCTGAACGCGATTTATGGGCTACTTGGCGCCCCGGATCATCGGTTGTTGCCCCTTCATCTCGAGCAGGTCAAGATCACTCATACAGGAATGTCCCTGGAGGGTGCCGCTAACCACGCTCCCTATTACTTCGCCTCCTATCCGTATCCCATCGAGGAACCTGAGTATGAGTATCCCGAGGATGCCGAGGATTGGCCGCAATACGACGGATGCCCGTACAAAAACGCCCAACATCTCGCCATCTATTTGGACCGCTTTCTCGGCCGGTGCGCAATGCAAGAAACAGGCACGCAGCCACCTCGCTTTGCGATGACCTCGTGAGTTTTCTGCTTACTGCTTACTCTGAGTGAACTAATGTCTACCTGCACAGTTGGGGCAATTTCAATATTTCATCTAATACCACACTTCACTCAAACCTTCTGTGCCCTAAGACAACATACGGTGCTGGAGCCCTACAGGCCATTTCAGTTCAGTCAGCAGTTGCAGGAAGCTTCGAGTGCTGTTCGAACTTTGAGTTTGGAGGGGGCTTCGAGGATAATGAAGTATACGCACACCCTGTAGTAATGCTCCGATAGATCAAAATGTATCCTTCAGGCTCGTGCTGTTCCGGGTCCTGTGTTGAGGTCGATACTAAGTCCCGATCAGTTGGCCAAGCCGAAGCCCTACCAGGATAGCTTCTCCTCACTATCTATCAAGAACTAGGTAGCTTCTGGCCTCTCATCATTTCAAATTGTCTTCCTAAGGCCATGCCTCAGAGCTCTCAACAAGGTACATTGTAACAGCTCAATGCTGTTCGATTCCCGAAATAAGTATTCTGCTATATGGCTTACCACAGACATGGGGTTGACTCACTCCCCAAGAGCTCCCACAGAAATCAACAATCTAGATCGCCACCTCTCCCTTCCTCTTCCGAACTAAAACCCTAACCCCTGGGTCCGAATCCAAGAAGATCCCATTCTCAATGATCCTGGGCTCCACCTCCCCGGCAATCTTCCACTCGAACTTCATCAACAAATGGCACAGCGCAATCTTAATCTCATTGGCCGCCAGGAACCGTCCCGGGCACGCATGCAGCCCATGCCCAAAAGCAATATGCTCCGACCGGAGGGTAGTCAACTGCCACCGGTTCTCATTGCCGGGCTGCTCGCGCAGTCGCACGAACCGGAAGGCGTCGAATTTGTCGGCCTCAGGGAATACGGCCGAGTCCCACGCGCCGTGGTGCGAGACACCCAGCATCGTGCCCTTGGGGATCCGGAAACCATCAGCGAGGGTGATGTTTGCGGTGGCTTTGCGGACCATGTTGACTACCGATTCAATTTGGGTCAGCAGTGTGCTTGTTCTGCGTGGTGTGGAAGGGGGACTCACTCGATAGAGCAGGTTTGATTCGCTGCGCCTCTTTGATCACACTATCCATGAGTTTGAGGTTGTACAGCGCCGAATGCTTGATCCCTCCGCTCCCCATGACGGAGACCACCTCCTCCCGCAGGTGCTGGATCGCCTCCGGGCACCGCAGCAGCTCGTACATGGTCGTCGTAATGAGGTCGGTGGTGGTGTGAATGGCCGACAGCGCGAGCGTCAGCTGCATCGCTACGGGGGCGTACGGGATCTCGCGGTCTTGTGAAGTCTGCTCCAGCCACTCGATCGAGTCGTACCGCTCGGGCAGCTTGATGCTCGGATCAGCCAGCGCAGCGGCCTTCTCAGCGCGTCGCCGCTCGATGAGCGGGCGAATGATCGCCTCGGCCTGCCGGAGCTGGTCGCGGACCTTGCGCGCCTGTGGGAAGAGCATGGCTAGGACGGGCCAGAGGAATTGCGGGTACGTGCGGATTTGATGCGCGGCGAGGAAGGAGTCCACCGTGTATTCCTTGGTAAGGCGAAGCCAGGTTTTGTCGTGGCGAACCTCCTCGTCGCCCAGGAAGATGGTGGACGACATCCGGGCGATGATCTCAAGGAGGATGTCTTTGAGGACTACTTCGTGCCATTCTGTGTTCTTGTTAGAGCGGGAAGTTGACAAGTCTGATAGAGAGAAGTGAGTGAGCTCACCGTCGTCATTGGGGAAGAGATCTTTGCATGCTTGGGTCGCCGTCTCGTTGACAGGGTCCGTCAGCTGTTCTGCCCAGGGTTAGTCTTAGTATCAGGTTCGACCCATCGGAAACGAGAACATACTCAGCGACCCCATCAACTTCGTCTTAGTCATATCAGCCAGCAAGCTGTGCCCAGTAGATTCAAAAAACGGCTCAAACCCATGGACTTCCGCACATGTGGACTAGATACCTCAGTCAGTCGCACAGCATCTTGCCACCGGGGAAGCACGATGACAAACCTCCTTCATGAACTCCCCATGACTGAGCGCATCGATGTTCCGCACTTCGTCTGCCATGGACGGCGGCAGGACCAGCATCTCCCCGAGATCGGAGATGACCCTGAACGGCTTCGTGTTGCCAACCTAGCCCCTCATCAGCCACCATTTTACCCCAACTCCAAAATAGGCAGTATACCTGCTGAAATCCCTTGGCAACAATCTTCCGCGCATTGGCCGCGAAGCTCTCTTTAGCTTTTTTGTGGCCGATATCCCAGAACGAGGACTTCCCGGTGGACACGAGGGGCACATGAGCCAGGGGACTTTCCAGTCGTCCATACCACAACAGCGAGATTGCGATGAAGATGGGAATCCACAAAGCGGATAAGGTTACGGTGTAGGACCGCGTGCCTGCCAGGGGCAGAAGGCCCGGTGCAGGGGCGGACAGATTCCGACCGAGGTCGAACTCCATACTGAAACAGGCTTCTGTATCTGTATTGAGGTTGAAAGGACGACGGGTATGGTGATCAGATCGCTAACGCGACTGAGTAGCCTTCTATTTGTCTCTGCTGCCAAGGTGTTGCTTCAATAGCCGTCAGTGCCACAGTATCAAACGATCACTTGGCGATCGGTATTTTGCGATTGAGATATGTCCGAAGAGTTTCGCCACAGACACTTAAGGACCACGACAAACGTAACCAATGCAACCAGAATTTGCTGATCAGAATCTCCGGATCGAAGATGGTCTTGTGACGAAGTCAATGGAGGCTGAGTTAGGGCTAGGCGGGGACTGCATCGCTGGATATTCCCGATCATCTCCAAAATTCCCGATCAACAAATCGGAGACGCAGACAGCGCCCGATGTCTCTGCGACTTACCATTGTGGACTAGATTATGGTCACAGCCATAAATCACCGTGAGTGCCAAAGAAGTCGAAAGACACGACATGACCACCACACCCTGCGCACTCCTACCTGTCCTGCGAACTCTCCACAACGTTGCGCTGCTTCAACCGCACACGCAGCATCATGTTCGGACTATTCAGCAGCAGCGAACTAGCCCAGCCTGCTCGCGTCCCCACAGACACGGTCATTCCGCTGAATGCCGCCGACGACACAGAAGTGCTACGCAGTGTGTGCGTGGTGCTGTCCTACCGGTTCGACGACGTGCTGGACCCGGAGAAGCTTCGGTCGTCTTTCGAGAGACTGCTCGACCGACCTGGTTGGCGTAAGATCGGAGCAAGACTGCGCTTAAATGTGTGTTCACTACACTCACGAGCTTAGATAGGAGCGGTAGCTGACATCCCCTAGAAAAACGGGCGCCTCGAATACCACATCCCGAAGTACTACGACGCAAAGCGCCCCATCGTGAACTACTCACACGCCTCCTACGAAACCTCCATCCTCGAGCACCCCTTGGGCTCGCGGCTCCCCCGGCCGAGCGTCAAACCTGCCGTCGTGGCCGATCCCACCGAATTCGACTCTCTAACCACCAGCGGGGACGCCCCCAAGACCCTGCATGACTACCTGACGCGCGACGTGCCACAGCTGAGCCTGCACATTGCCTCGTTCAGCGACTCTACCCTCATCTCCATCTCGCTGCCGCACACCCTCACCGATGGGACCGGCGGAGCACAGATCTACCGCTCGTGGGCGCTCGTCCTGCAGGGCCGCGAGGACGAGATCCCCGCGTTCCACGGCTACGCCCACGACCCGCTGGCGAGCTTCGGCACCGACCCACAGTCCGCAACCCGATACATGTACGCGGGGAGGCAGCTCACGGGGTGGCGCAAATACCTCTTCATCGCGCACCAGCTGTACGACGGCTGGCGGTACCGCACGGGGTCGCGCATCGTCTGCATCCCCGGCGCGTACCTGGCCACCCTGCGCCAGCGCGCCATCACCGAGATCCGGACCTCGACGGGCGACGAGACGGCCTTTGTCAGCGACAACGACGTAATCACTGCATGGTTTACGCGCCTGACCCTGTCGGCTCTCTATCCGCGCACCTCCACGCGCACCATGCGCATCATGAACGCCTTCACCCTCTCCACCGTGCTGGGCGACTCGCACCTCCCCACCTCGAAAGCCTTTATCTCCAACGCCGCGACCGAAATCTATACCTTCTTGCAGGTCAAAGACTTCTTCACCCGCCCGCTCAGCTACGCCGCGCACGCCATCCGCCGGTCCATGACGACCGGCGGCACGCGGGAACAGGTCGAAGCCTTACAATGCGTCAAGCGGCAGACCTTCGCCACCGAGGGCCACAGCTGGCCGATCTTCGGGGATACCTCGATGGAGATGATGAGCTACTCCAACTGGACCAAGGGCAAATACTTCGAGACGGATTTCTCGGCGGCGATCGTGTGCGAGGGTCTGCCGGCGGCGCAGCGCGCGGAAAAGCCCGGGTTCGCGTCGATGGTGCAGTTCAACGCGTGGTCGACCAAGTTCGATCTTCGGAATCTTATGCCCATTATGGGGAAGGATGCCGCCGGGAATTATTGGATGCAGGGGCCGTTGCGCGAGGTGGTGTGGCGTGGGATTGAGCGGGAGCTGGCACAGATGGGTTGATTCGGATATATATATCTTGCTACGCTCTCTAGCCACCAACCGTCGAGAAATCGAATCTGTGATTAGAGGCCGATTTAGTGCGGGGATGGCTTAGATAATCATATACGAGTATGAAGAGTGTCTTATAAGTTAGCCCTTGTAAACAAAATTGTTTTTGAACCATGGTTGACCTTCAGGTGACCTTTAGGTGAATTTGAAATTATTCCATTGAGCTTGCATTCCATTGCATGGGACAAGTCTTCATGATGTTGGTATTGTGTCAGAGTTAAAAGCACTTATCACCAGCAAGCGTTAGTGGTGTAGCGGTTAGCATTGTTGCCTTCCAAGCAATAGATCGGGGTTCGACTCCCCGCTGACGCAGTCTTCTTTTGCTTTTTTTTTTTTTTTTTCTGTTCTGTTTGGTTTGTCCTGTTTTCCCGGCGGAGCATTAGCCAAACTAATTCTGCCACTTAACACGGCAATCCTGGCAACTGGCGCGACAATTCCAACCGGTGAGGTCAGTGTCTAAGTTAAACATCTACCCATAGAAAAATGAAAACCGAATTCAAATTCTTACCAGCTCTGGATATATAGTAAACTGTAAGTACCTGTCATGTCTCTGTCCCGGTCCTTAACATTTCGCTATTCATCGACTACCAAACAATCCAACCAGAGTGCATGAAAGTGATTGTACGTCACCGCACTGCACCGTACTGTATCTACCGAACCATCCATGGCATCTCACAACTCCTGCCATTGACACATCGATGGCTGCCTCATATACTCTCTGCGTATGCTTCGGGGTAAGCAACCTCCGCCTCGACGGAGACAAAGCGTGCCTGAGGTTTTCCGGTACGCTTTTCTCTGTACGCCTCGGGGTACGCAATGTTTTCTTCGATCGAGTGGGCGGCTAGCAGAGCATAATTCACATTAGTACTGAAGATTTCTCTACTGAACCTCAGCAGGTAGTATGTTCCTTACCTGTGCTATCGGAGGTGGGAAGTGCGAGGACTAGGAAACTCCCAGCACCCAAGAGGATCATCGCGGACAACAGCTTCATTTTGAGACGGGTGGTTTGACAAAGAAGGGATATAAGATCTTGGGGTGCTGTTTTTTGATGCTGGGACCGGCGCTCCGAGGCTCCGCAGATGAAAGAAGATGATATGTACGTGGGTCGAGGTGGACAATGGACGCAGGATTCCTCTCTCCTTCTCTCCCTCTGCTCCTCCCGAACACTGTGCGGTAGAGACGCCGACTTATAAACATTAATACCGCTTCCGGCAGTCAGCATCCGGAAAGCAAGCCCAATGACGCAAGGAAAAAGAAAGGGAAAAACCTGTTACTGCAAGCCCGCTGGTCCCCAGTATGCTATGTGCGTGATGTGTGCTGTGAAGCATTAGCGGCATGCAAGTGATGAGGGTACACTCGGCTGCACACATCACTTATACTGCAAATGGATTGACTTACAGGGCAAACACACTCTGATCCTTCCCTACCCCAAGCCAGAAAACTCATTTGAAGACAAGAGACTGCTACCACGGCGTCATCGCGCGAAAGAACCACCTAATTGTATTCTCCCCACCTAATCAAAAACGACATGGAGATAGAGTTACAGCCCTTTCTAGCACCCACCGCGGCAGACGGTGAGCAGCAGCAGCAGCAGCAGCAGCAAGGTTGGTGGTCTCAGGTTCAGCATACGTGCAAGTCCAGCCATTCTAATGCAGCCGCCCTCTGGATCGGAATCCCCGTGCTCATAAATGCATTCGTCTTGATACTTCTTGCTTCCTGGGTTGTGCAGCGCTCGAGCCCAGCATGTTCAATGACGCAGGGAGAAGGCAAGCTTCCCGGTGGCTGTTTTGGCACCCTCTTACCCATGATACTCAACGTTTCCAAACTCTAGCGGGGCTATATGTATGGACGCAAGGAGTGTTCGATGACCATCAACAACAACACTTCTAAACTCTCCTATGTGTGAACTCGCGCCTCTCGCCCCGTGAAATCCGACCACGCAGCAATGAGCGCCACCGTGCCGACAGGAATTGACCTCTCAGCAGATCAGCGGCCAAAGATTGTAGCTGTGCTAGTTACAACTTGGATTATAGCCTTTTTGACGGTCTCGCTACGATTCACCGCTCGAACTTTGGTCAAAGCTGGACTGTGGTGGGATGATTGGGTGGTTCTATCGTCGCTGGTCTCTTCACCCTTCCTTTTTCGCTCCTGATTGATTGTCTTGAGAGCAATCTTCTAACTATTGAGTCTAGATTTTCGGAGCAGTTGTATCCCTCCTGCCGGTTGCCTGGAGTTAGTTCCCACCCATGCTGTTTGCTTTGAGAGTCCAGCGGCTAACCTACGTGATATGCTGAACCAACACGCAGACGTCCGATATGGATTAGGGCTGCATGTCTGGGCTGCGCCTCCCGGCTCGGTCTCGGCCTTTCCCAAATCCTTGGTCATCGCCGAGCTCTTCTATGTGGCCGCTACTGTTGCCATCAAACTCTCGATTCTGCTCTCGTACCGGCGCATTTTTCGAGTGCCTCATGTGCAGAAGGCGACCACAATAGTTGCCTGGATCGTGTTTGCCTGGGCCTTCGCTTGTGTAAGAATAGCACTATCTGATGTTTGCTTTGCTGATCCATAAGCAAACCTCGAGACAGATCCTCATTTGTTTGCCTCCAATGCATTCCATTGCAGGGCAAGTGTGGAGTCAACAATCGCGATTACTTCCTGGGAAAGTCCATCCCGGACACGATCACCGATGTTGGGATTCTCATGATCCCAATGAGAGCCATCTGGGAGCTACACACCACGCGAACGCAGAAGTCCAGTCTCAGCCTCACTTTCTTGATGGGTGGCCTGTTAGTATCACCTACACTGACTCAACACGATCGTTTACACCGCGCTTGCCGGCACTACATGCTGACTGCATGTCCATGTAAACTAACTCACCCTTTAGTGTGATTGTAATCTCAATCATTCGACTCGTCTGCATCATGAGCGTCGATCTGAGCTTCGAGGACATTACGTGGAATTTCGTTCCGTACCTGATCCGGACCTGCGTGGAGCTGAACATCGACACTGTTGCCGGTAACCCCCCCCCACCCGCTGCCCACAATCATCGTACGGACTGACTTTTGAGGGCCACAAAGCTTGTTTGCCTTGCCTGTGGCCCATTTACACATACTGCCGGGAACGTATGGGGTTGTCTGGTAGTTATCCCAGCGCAGGCTCTTTTCCGAATTCCGAGGGCCAGATTTGTTCTGGGCGTAATCGGTGGCGGCTATTTTCGGATGAAGACGAGTACCGATATGGGGATCAGGTTCCTATGCAGGCTGGCGAGGGAATCACGGTTCATCATGGCTACTTGGTGCAGACAGAAAGCGCTACATGTAGTGGCGGCGACGTGACCTTTCATTGAGCAATGTGTATGTAGTTACCGGGCACTGTACGGAGCTGCAACTGCTACACCGGACAAACTCACTAGGAGTAGCAAGCCACTGATACAATCCAGCGGCAAGAACAGAGCTACTGAGTATCAGAACCAGTGAAACCAGTGGCAATGCAGAAGTACTGCCGATCCTCATGTGGATACTTATACACAGACTAGTTTGTGTTTGTGACGGACGCGTGCATCATCTCAAGCCCTTTTCCCCCTCTTTGGATCTCTTTGTCCTTGGGAATTCTCGTCCTCATATAGAGCATACAGCAGAGCCTTAAGACCCGCATCGATCTCTCAAGCAGGGACATTTCTGACATCAAACTCCCAATCATGGCCTCCTCAACTCCCACCACCTATTTGCTCCCTCGCGATCGCTTCGAGGCCACCAGGTATGCGCCTAAGCCCTAAGCTCCAAGCTTTCCCATGTGTCTGTTTCCTCACCATACTAACCCCAAATCTTCTTCCCAGGCTCTCCTCCCAGCATTTACTCTGGCAGCTCCACACGGGCTATCTCCTCCACCCCGACATCCCCCTGAAGGAGGGTATGACCATTGCGGACATTGGGACTGGCACTGGGTTAGGAACGCCACTCCCCTCCCTTAGCCCTTTCAGCCCTTTCAGCCCTTTCTCTTGTGCTCATACTTGCAACCCAAACTACCAGCATCTGGGCCCTCGAGCTCTCCCCTCACCTCCCCCGCAACGCCCAGGTTGGCGGCTACGACATCGCGAGCACCCACTTCCCTGCCTCAGAGTACTGGCCCGCACACATGCGCTTCGACCACCTCGACTCGCTCAGCGAGGCGATCCCCGACCCACTGGTCGGGCACTTTGACGTAGTGCATCTGCGCATGTGGGCGTTTGTCATCCGGGACAACGACCCCAGCGCGCTGATCCGGCATGCGGAGAGATTAAGATAAACCGTATATCTGGACTACTTCGCCAGAGTGACTGGGCTGAATCTCATTTTGTTCGAAGTACTTCTTGTTCAGGGGCTGCAAACAAGCCATATTGCATTACACTACCTATAACTGAGCGTACAAAACCACACTAACAGTAAACAGTCTACTCCCCCCGCAGCATCCGAGGATAGTGAGGCTGACCCGGGTCATCCATCGAGTCAATCAGCGCCGCCACTCCCCGGTTCAATCCCACAGCCACCGCTCGAGCACTCCACTCCTCCACCGGAAGCACATCGACATGAGCAGCGCCCGTCTCCTTGACCACAAACGCCTTCAAATTATCCAACGGAATCACGATATCGCCAACCTGGTGAGTGTACGAGACCGAAGCAGAGGAAGCCTTGGGCTTGTTCTCGAACACGGCCGTCAGAATACTCTTTGTCGCGTTGTGCACCGAGACAAAGTCAAGAGCACCCCGCAGGTTCTTCAGCGTGGGCACAGCGCGGGTCTTGCGCATGTACGCGGCCAGGGCGTTCATCCAATCGGTTTGCGCGGCGGCGCTTTCGGCATCGGCGCCCTCGCGGATGATGGTTGAGGGGCGGTGAATCCACACATTCACCCCGTGCTGTTTGTTATACTCCTCCAGCAGACGCTCGCTGGCCCATTTCGCGGCCACGTAGCCGTGCGAGCCGTCGGCCGGGGGCGGGTGCGCGGCAACCGAGACCTCCGGGAAGGAGGTGTAGTTGCCAAAGAGGGCTACACCCACGGTCGAGAGGTAATGAATGGGCACCTTGCGAGCCGTGCAGAGGCGGATCAGCTCCTTGGTCGAGCCCATGTTCGCGGCCTTGATCTCGGGATAGAACTTGAGGTGGGAGGTGTCAGCGCCGTTGTGGATCACTGCATCCGCGCGGCTGAAGATCTGAGCCGCTTGCTGTTCGGAGAGACCGAGACGGGGGTCTTCGAGGTCACCTGCGAAGTACTGGATTCGGGCGTCTGCGATCAGCTCTTTCGATTGGAGGCGCTCATCAAGACGGCGGGTGGCGAGGCAGATGATCTCCTTTACGGATGGGTCTTGCAGCAAGCGCAGGAGCAGGTGTCGGCCCAGCAGTCCACTGACACCCGTGAGCACAATGCTGCGAGGACGGGCGGCAGGAGCCACGCTCGCCTCCATCTTTGCTGCTTGGGGCAATGCGATCTCGGCCTTCCAGTCGATGCGAATAGGACCCTTTGATAGGGGTCCTGTGGTGGCTTCCAAGCTGGTAGGGGTGCTAGTTCCAGTATAACCACTGCTGGACTCGGTAGACGTGGCATCCTGGTTGGAGTCCGCTGAGGAGCTGGTCTCGTCATTCGGTGCAGCGACCGGAGCAGGCTGGGAAGGATTGTTCGTGGCAGGTAACTGATCAGAGGACGATTCTTCGCCTCCAAGGCCAGGAAGCAACGAGGCTGGGACTTGCGCGGCCACAAGGTCTGCCAGCTCGGCCATGGTATCGTTGCCCATAATCTTCAAGACCGGAACGCTGACTTCGAAATTCTTCAGGAACCACGAACGGATGTCGACCGAAATTAAAGAGTCGAGACCAATATCACGGCTTCTCATTGCCATCAGATCCTCGTCGGCAGTGTTCATCTGCAACACATTGCGAAGTTGCATGGCAAATCTCCCTACTCCAGTCAGTATGCAATGCAAGGAATTGCAATACGCGGAAACTTACCCTTGACGACAGCAAGCACATCGCTGGTTGACTTGCAGGCAGCAAGCTGATCCTGGACCGAGGTAACGACTTCATTTCCTGCGTCAGTTCCGTTCTTCTCGACCCTGTGAACGACAAAGTCGAAGAATGCCGGGTTCGAGTGCCACTTGGGCGCATTCTCCGTGTCGGCAGCAGGGATATCCAAAAGGCCGGTGGTGAGCTCAGCTTCGTCGCCTGAATCCGGACGACCGGCATCGATACCCTCCGCAAAGAGCTGGTGGTAATCTTGCTCTGACAGGTGCATCAGCGCCATCTTGGACACAGTCAAGTCAAGAGCCTTGCTGGACTCGCGCTCCATGTAACCTGCACCGATGATAGCACCCACGTTCAAAGCAGTAGCTGCCAGACCGCGCTTGCGACGTTGAGCGGCCAAACTGCACATGAAGGTATTCGCCGCCGCATAGTTGGCCTGACCCAGGTTACCAATGACACAATTGATGGACGAGAACAGGATGAAGAAGTCCAGGTTGGCGTTCTTGAAGATGCGGTCCAGGTGAATACTTCCGTAAACCTTCGGGCGGAACACCTCGCTCATGAGTTCAAATGACATGTTGCGGATCGAGACATCTCTCAGCACCATGGCACCATTCAGAACACCGATGATCTGCGGCATAGTCTCGCAGATAGACTGATGAGCAGCACGTAGAGCACGCTCGTTTGTCACATCGCAGCGTACGATAGACACAATGACACCATTGCGCTTATGAGCCTTGATCCAGTCGGGCGAGATGTTGGGGTTGCGGCTGGTCAAGACAAGGTATCTCGCGCCTCGTTCGATCATCCAGTCGGCCAGAGAAACACCGAGAGCGCCCGACAAACCACACAGCCAGTATGTCTTATCGCCCTTGAAGAACGAAACCGAGTCCAACCGGCTGACGTGAACAGGGTAGGTCTTGGAAAGAGTCCAGTCGATGATTGTGGTCGGCTCTTCAGGGCTTAGCTCGTTCAGAAGTTCATCGATACCAACCGCCCGAGACGCCGATTGGAAAATCTTTCCAGCCTCGGTCTGCACGCTGACCAGAGCGCGCTGTAGGAACTGGCCTAAGAAAGGCGCAGACGATGGGCTGCTCTTCCAGCCAACTGAGGCATATAAAGTCGCCCTGGATTCCTTCCTGCAGTGCGAAGGAAGACTAGACATGATGTTTGACTCGATCTCAGAGTGCTCGCTAGATAAGCCGACAAAGCTAGCCGTGTCTAGAGGTAGGATATCGGAAACCTCAGACTGAGTCAGATAAGGCTCAAGCTTGGTCCAAGAGGCAGGAACGTTCTCCTGCGTCGAGTCCGCTACGAAGAAGGCGCGGACATTTTTGCTTGCCGCTTGGCTGGCAATGGTACGTGCTAGCAGCTCGGTGGAATTGTGCACAACAATTGTATCCCCATCAATGAGAGGGTCGACCACAGCCATGGAGACGAGGCGAGCAGCTAGTACAGTCAGAAGGTCGGCGTCGGCCAGCGTCGAAACAGGCAGCGGAACTGCCGAAGCCTTGGGCACATGAATGACCGATAAGAGAGATGGCACAAGAGCCAGGAAGCGTGCCTGACTCTCGGGCTCGGTTCCCAGAACAAGGAACTGATGACCATGCGGCGTGCGAAGGGCCGAAAGTACGGCATGGCTGACCTCAAGACTAATTTGAGACTTGGTATCAGGAGGGCTAGCCCAACGTGACAGCTCTGTCAACTTCCATCCCTCGGCCTCCTTGTGCAGGGCTGCGGGGGCCTTGTAAATGTCAGCCTCCTTGGTAATCGGGCGGCGAGCTGAATTGTAGCGGTCATTGCGGGCCTTAATGTGTCGGAGACGGGGCACGAGCTCCTCGCCCTCAGCATTGACAACGATCTCCGGTTCCAATGGCCAGGGCAAATGTTTGCCCGAAGAGGCAGAGGCATCGAAGCGTAGAATCTTCTCGACCAGGCTTTCGTGCTTGAACGAGCTCAGATCTGCGATATCGATGTTCTGGAATTGCAGAGCAGGGGCTTCGAACACTGCAGTACGAGCAAAGCCGACCGTCATGTTAGACCATGGGTCCTCGTTAAGCCGACCACTGGTAACCCAGAGAAGCTTGATGGGTGCAGAGAAGAGCGTTTTGAAAGCGAGCCACTCATCGGGTGTCATATCTTCAAAGACAGGCTTGTCCAGCTCCGACAAGCTGACGACTGTGGCATCAGCATCGATCAGATCGAAGTCTACCTCTGTCAATTTGCCAAAGGAGTGGAGCTCGTGGGAGATTTTGCTGAGAATACCCTGGACAGGCCGGATCAGAGATTGGGTCTTTGATGTGCTTCCTCCAATGACGACGAGCTTCTTGATAGGGTACTCTACTGCAGCCGAACCTTGCAGAATCCCAGGGCTGACAGGCTCGCGCAGGAAGCTAACCTGGTCATCCACAGCTTGAGCTGCAAACACGGTCATACCAAGGATGTCCTGAAATGACTGGGGCGCTGTCGCATCGATGCCAGAGAAGCCACTGCTCTGAAGGAGTCTCTCCCACTCGGAGTAAGAGACGAATGGCGAGAGAGGGCGGCCGGTATCTGCACCAAGCCACCAACCCGGCAGGGATCCAAAGATAAATCCGGCACTGCCGTAAGGCTGGCCGTTGTTGGTGCCTTCTCCGACGATCAGGAAACCGCCCGGCTTGAGCAGCTTGCGGATGTTGCGCATGGTGAGCTCCAGATCAGGGGTGGCGTGAATGACGAGGAAAGCGACAACCACGTCACAGGTTCCCTCGGCGTAGCCCTGAGCAACGGGATCCTGGCCACAATCAAAGGTCTTGAAGACCATGCGATCCTTGTGAGCAGAGAATGTCTCCGCAGCACCCTCGAAGAAACCACTGGACACGTCTGTGAAAGTATAGGACAAGAATCTCGAGTCAAGGTTCTGGAGGATTCTTGTCGTAGCACCTCCGGTACCGGCACCAACTTCCAGGATGTTGAGATGAGGATAGCGCTCTGCAAGCTGGGCGATAATCTTGCCAATCCAGAAGCCAGCCTCCCGCGAGCCGAAAGCACCCTGATAGTAATTGTCGAGGATGTTACTGACCCGCATCTCTTCCAGCATGTTGGTTTCGCCACGGAAAACACGCGGCATCTGTTGCCCAACCAGGTGCATCATGCGGTAGTCAATGAGGTCCGAAAATTGTTCCGTGGCTGCACGGAGGTCTTCCAAGGAGTCTTTCAGCCATTCCTTCTTGGCCACCTTGTGCTCTCCGTTGCGGATCAAGTTGACAATGTGGCGAGCATACTGAAGGTAATGGCTGTGAGGGCTATCCTTACTCCTCAGCGGAGAGTCGGCGGGCACCTCTGCATCTAGTTTCTTGAGGTAGTAGGTCGAGATACGCTCCAATCCCTCCAGGATCTCCGAATGATGCTTGGTCACAGTGGTATCCGACGCAGCCAACTCGCCATCGAGACTGTTTTTGACCCACTGGTACCTGGAGAAGACCTTGCGATCGTTCTTGGCGGTCAAAGCGCCCAAGGGCACCAATTCAACGCGCTGCATCTGGATTGCTGCGCAACTGGAGTCATTGGTGTAGATGCTGACATCTCCTGAGAACCCGGCGGACTGTGTGGAGCCCAAAGTCGAGTCAACCGTGATGTCGGTCATGGATTTGCACAGAGCGGGGTTGACACGGATGCTGCTCATGCTGGTGGGTAGATGCATGTTCAGAAGCTGGTCATCATCCGGGTAACTGTACGCAAGAATGAGAGACTGGATGCCACCATCCAACTCAGCAGGATGCACCAGCAAGGGCGGTCCGAACGTATCGCGCGATACTGATTTCACGGCACACACACTCGTTCCCAGTTTCCGTCTAAGAGTGTGCAGAGACTTGAACGGTCCTTCAAATCCGTAGCCCAGCGTAGCCAGGAGGTTGTAAAAACGCTCATTGTCCACTGTGATCATGTGGGCTGGCTTGGTAGCTCGACGGGGAAGAGTGGTTTCCAAGGAATTTCCAAAAATGATGTGAAGATCCGCTTCAGCCACCAGGGCGAGATCCTCCTCTCCGAGGCTTGCGGAGTAGGTGAACTTGGCTTGGACGTGGTTATCGCTCAGATGGCGAACATCAGACAACGAGGTCTGCACTTCGATACCGGCATCGTCTTGGCTGAAGGTCAAGGCTTGGTGTATGACAAAATTCTTCAACTCGAAAATCCGCACATTACGCTCGCCTGCCAGGACTCGAGCACCCTCGAAAGCTGTACAGATATACCCTGCCGCGGGAAAGACAGTCTGGTTTTGAACCTGATGACCTGAGACCCAATCAATCTCGCTGGCACGCAGCAGGTGTCCCCAGCTCAAATGGTGGGCCGCGCTCTCCGGCTTCATGGTTCCCAGCAATTGGTTGAATTGCTGGATTTGGGAACGGTGCTTCTTGGATGCCCGCGACTCATGACGGTAAGAGGCCTCATGGTTCCACTTATAACTTGGAAGGCCCTTCACCACTCGGAGGGTGGACTTGTCATCATTCACCGCAAGGTCGAATCCAGTCAAGTCAAGGTTCTGTCCCCCAAGATGACGCCACAGAGATCCGAGACTCGAAGCCAGACTGACCGCGGCATCCGATCCCCGGCTGAGCACACCATAGTATGGAATACTCTTGCCTAAGACTTCCTGGATGGTTTGCGATGCGGGTCCCTTCAAGGCCGGATGAGGGCCGACTTCAATTGCGGCCTGGTATTCGCCCCCCTCAAGAGCAAGCCTGAGAGCCTGGTAGAATTGCACAGACCGAGCGACACTTGCGCCCCAGTATTCGTCACTGAGGTTCATTTCTGCTGTAACCTCGCGGGCATACACACTCGAAATCCAGAGACAGTTGTTCGATGTTGGCTCAAGGGCACGGACACCTGCCGACTTGACCAAGGCGACATAATCGGCAAGACGTCGCGACACGTGGTTAGAGTGGTAAGCTCGGTCGACACGAAGCTTGCGGTTGAACTTGTTCTCGTCGTCCAGGATCGTTTTAACCTCATCAATGGCATCCTCGTCACCGGAGATCGTCACACTAGAGGATGAGTTGACAGCGGCAACACAGAGGCGACCAGCGAAGAGCTCGTCTTCTACCAGAGCCTGCGCATCTTCTGGGGACAGACCTGCTGCCAACATAGCTCCTTTGATGTGAGGTCCGTTAGGACTTTCCATCTTCGAAGCAAATCGACCACGGAAGTATGCCACACACATGGCGTCTCGCGCGCTCAAGTGACCGGCCGCGTATGCTGCAGCCATTTCACCCGAGGAGTGAGCGACGATGGCATCGAAATGAACGCCTGCGAGCTTCAGCAGATCCACCAACACGATCTGAACAACAGTAGAGAGGAATGAGAAAGCACCCGTCAAAACCCGAGAGGAATTAGCTGCCGCGCGAAGCTCCTTCTCAAGTGAGAAGTCAGGGCGAATCTCCTCGGGGAGTTGCTCAATGTGAGCTTGCAGGTCCTGGACAATCTTCCGAGCTGTGGCGGACTTCTCAAGCAGCTCAGCGCCCATGCGAGCGTACTGCGCTCCTTGGCCGGTGAAAATGCCGAGAACCTTCGGCTTCTTTCCTCCTGAGAGAGCTGGGAGTCTCACACCCAAATCTTCGACCTTGGTAGCTTCTAATTCACCCCGAATCTTGGCCACCAAGTCGTCGGCCGATGCAGCGGCAAAGGAAATGCGGTAAGGGAACTCAGACCGACGTTGCTGCAGGGTGTATGCCAAGTCGCGCAGATTGAGCGATGGGTTTTCTTGGACGTAATCAGCGTACGCGGAGAGGCTTTCACGTAGCGACTGCCGAGTGAGGGCCGAGAACACAAAGGGGGTGAATTGATGCTGAACCCCATCCTCAATCAGTCGAGGGCGCTCGTAACTTTCCAGAATAGCGTGGGCGTTGGCACCGCCGAAGCCAAAACTGTTCACACTGGCTCGTCGTGGCTGGCCAGGGACGACTTGCGGCCATTGCTTGGCTGTGGAGGGTATTTCCAGGTTCGCAGTGAAAGGGGCCACTCGGTCGCTTAAGTTGTTCAAGAGCATATTGGGTGGTACAGTCGAATGCTGAAGGGCTAGCGAGGCCTTGAGTAGGGCAGCCAGGCCTGCAGTACCTTCGGTATGTCCGAGGATGGTCTTGATCGAGCCAACATAGAGACGGTCATCCGTGGTTTTGGTGCCAAATTTCTCACCGTAAAAGGCCCTCGAGATGGCTTCGGCCTCGATCGGATCTCCTGCAGGCGTACCTGTCCCATGAGCTTCGAAGAACTGAGGCCGGTCCGACGCCTTCTCCAAGTCCAGACCGGCTTTGGCATAGGTAGCACAAATCAAGGCCTGCTGGGCAGTAGCACTGGGCATTGTGATGCCTGTGGTCGATCCGTCCTGGTTAAAACCAGTCTCGCGAATGATGCACTCAATGTCATCTCCATCCTCAATAGCGGCACTAAGAGTCTTCAGAACGCACGCAGCGACACCATCTCCTCGGGCATAGCCATTGGCGTCCTTATCCCACATCTTACTGCGGCCTTTCATTAAGGTTAGCTCACCATATTTGGGAGTTAACATTCTTAGTACTAACCATCGGGAGACAGCATCTTCAGCTTGCTTTCCATGATATAATTTTCTGGACCCAACAGTAGATTAGACCCACAAGCCAGAGCGATCCGCGACTCCCCAGCTCGGAGCGACTGCACGGCCAGGTGGACCGCCACCAGACTGGAGGAACAGGCGGTATCCAAGGTCATCGATGGCCCGTGCCAGTCAAAGAAGTACGAGACGCGGTTTGACAAGATGCTCCGTCCAATGCCGGTTGCAGCGTAGACTGGAGCAGTTTTTGCTATTACAAGCCCCCTGTGTCAGTAGACTCATATCCCGAGGAAAACCCGAAGAATAATCAGTGCACTTACGATCACGTAGCAAGCTGGCCTCGTAATCACCACACATGAGTCCAACATAGACACCGGTGTCACTACCCCTGAGGGCATCTATTGTCAGCCCGGCCGACTCGAGACCTTCGTAGACAGTTTCCATCAAAAGACGTTGTTGAGGGTCGATGGCCTTCGCCTCCACCGGCTTGATCCCGAAGAATTCGGTGTCGAAAGCGGTAACATCCTCGTCTAGCACGTAGGAATGCCGAATATTGCTGTGACCATGGTACGCTGGGTCAGGGTGATAGTAGTTCTCGGCATTGAAGCGACTGTTGGGGATCACGCTGCGAACATCGCGAGGGTTGCGAAGGAGACTCCACAGCTTTGAGGGCGACGATGCTCCGCCAGAGAAACGACAGGCACTGCCCACAATGGCAATGGGCTCGTTCTGGTGAGTGGTTATAGCCATGGTGAATAGCGGGAAGCGGAGGTGAAACAGCGGCTGATCTCTCGAGAGGTTGAGGCGTGTTGTGGGTGTTGAACAGACACTTGGTTTATTTGCCTCAATCCAATTCGAGTGGCTTCTAGCAATCTTTAAACTATCCCTCTCCTCACAATGCCATTCGCACCGACTGAATATCCTCACCCCATGAATCCTGCCGAAGTGTATTGATCGGAGAACCTGGAGCACGGTGCACTTGGGATCGACGTGCATGATCGCAGGCAAGAAGCATCCGAGGCTTATTACGCCGAAGATGTAAGGAGTCCCTGCAGATCCCCACACAAGGTGAAGACCGATTCCCAATGATAGCCAAGCAACTCGTACTGTGCTTCGGTAATTTTGCTGGGCCCGCTTCATCTTATCCGGCATTTAAAAGGGTCATAAGAGTGGCGGTAGACTCTCTGATGGTGATCCATGCGGAGTTACTCTGCGACCTCGTCAGTCGGTGATCGACATTTAAAGTAGGAGAATTACTCCGATCGCTTGCCACACTTGGAATGGTTGCATCGGGAATAAGCTATGAAGAACAATGATCGACCAGTAGTCCCTGCAAGTAACTCAGTCTCTTTAGTCTATTGATATGGCTTATACCTTTTCCTTCGGACTATCATTATGCCCGGCCTCCACTGCGCGCGATCATACCAACGAGTGCAGTATTTTCGGCCATCATAGGCGCCGTAGGCAATACTTCATATTTCCCGTCTAGAAATGAGAATGACTGGTCGCATGGTAGATGCATAAGTGGCATGACATGGCTCGGGACAAAATGTCGAGGCATCGCCTCGGTCGCACAGGTGGTGAACAAGCTCCTAGTAACTATATCGAAACTGAGTATCTTGGATGTCGGTGACATCTTCACCGGCTTGGTAGGTGATCCCCGGGAAAATAATCGGGGTCTGGTCTCGTTTGCGATTTTCCGACCGACAGATGTACCAGTACAGACTCAATGCCACGAAGAGCAGGCACCAGGTGACAATGGCCGTGACGACCCCCTCAAAAAACCTCGGTGCAGCACTGGGCTTCCAGAGTTGAGGAGCTGCAATACACCCGGTACAGTATCCAATGAAGAACAAGGCGTTGACCATGGGACGCTTGGTGTTGCCTTTGACGTTTGAGGCGCTGAGGCTCAGCACAACAGCCAGGATGTTTGGTAGACATGAAGCCTGCAGTCAGTTAGTCCTAGAGTCCACACTGCTAATGCAGAAAACAAGAAAGAAGATGACGATGATGTCTTACCAGCCACGACGAGGCGATTAAACCCCAGCCAGCAGTGAGTGGCAGCTTGAGGAGGAGGATGTTTCCGACCAGGGGAGGGATGGTCATCATCATCAGAACCAAGCACCGATAATTAGGGAGTAGATAGCACCCTGCAAGGCTGATCCATATTGCCAGGATCTGTACGGCTCCCGAGGGGGCCGTATACAGCATAGTCTGGAGACTGGTGTAATTCAGGTTCTTGATGATAAGGGAGGCAAACTAAACCTGTCAGTGACGAAGGGACGACCCCTTTGAAAATAAGACCTTACTGTCATCACTGGGGCCTGCATGGTGACCAAGACTCCGAAAATGAACATGAACCACGCCCGGATATCTCCCAATGTCTCCTTAACTTGTGCAACTGAGAACTGAGTTAGATCGCCGGCGTCCCGATCAAGCATCATCCTTGCTTCAAGAACCTCCTTTTCGCGTGGGGTGAGGAACCATGCTTTCTTGGGCGAAACAGGAACGATGAGTATAAAGAGACCGCCAATGCCACATGTTATGGCTCCGCAGATGAGGAACAAAGTCCTCCAGGGTGCGAGACTGCCGGGACTCGATCGTCCGATCCCGTACATGAGCAGACAGCCAAGTACCTGAGCCAAGCCATCCATCGTGATCCAAATCCTGGAGTAAGAGATTAGACCTCATCTGTCTCGCAGGCTCGCTTTTTTGCCTCACCCGACGCGCAAAGCATGTTCATTCTTTTGATACCAGACACTGGTCAGAGTGACGAATGCTGGGGCGACTGCTCCTTCACTCACCCCGAGGAGAAATCGTACGGCGGCAAAGTCAGCAAAAGACTGGGTGGCTGCCAGGCACATGCAGATCCCTCCCCAGATGATACTAAACCAGAAGAGAGGTTAGAGAGGCTTCCCAGAAGTGATTGAGGCTCCACATACATGGTGACTCCAACAAATCGCGTCAAGGGCAGGCGACTCATCAGATAAATGAAGGGATATTCCGCCACCAGCTGTCCTTGACGGTTGTCAGCGAGATGCTTCTCATTGCGATTTCTTGCTCTTTTTCCTGTCGAAAGTCATACCAAGGTAGAAGATCGAGGAGCACCAGGAGTACTGGGACCCCTGCAAGGAGAGGTCATCGAGAAGCCCGAAAACCGAGGCATAACTCAAGCCCTGCTTGTCGAGAACTGTGATAGTGATGGTGATGGTGAGTTGGAGGAGAGGAGGATGAAGAGGAGGATGAAGTGAAGCAATGAGTTGAGAGAGGGAAGAAGTGGAGGGGAAGAGAAAGAGAAAGGGAAAAAGGCAACTGGCGGGGTTGACCAACACTGAAAGAAGAAGACCAAACACAACATCGGCAAGATAAACCGGTCGATTTTCCTCACCACCTGCTCTTCCTCCTCTTTCGAATATATCACTCGATGACAGCTACCATCGCTGGCCTCTTTCTCCTGAGGTATCTGCACCATCTCCCCAATCTCTCGATTAAACGAACTACTGCCTGAGAATGACTTCTGCTGATTTGTGATTGTTCCCACTCTAGGATGACGAGATGACGATGACGATGAAGATGAATCGTACGCGACGTGAAGTCCTCGAGAAGACACGCCACAGTCTCAGAATGGCCTTCATCAAGCTGATGCCAGCGGTCACTGAGTCCCCATTTATGCGTATGATAAGCCCACCGCGATATGCAAGGGGTGGATTGCCGCCAAGAATCCAATACTTGCTCGACCAACGCGCCGAACGCGTCTCCCATCAATACTGGTGGCTCGCCTGTGCATACTGGGCCAAGTCGAAAAGCGGTGGTGGCACATCAGTGGAACAAAAGAAAGAGCTTATATACCTATCATAGATCGAATATGTACAGTCGATTGCAGCCTACTGCTGTGTATGCACCACCACCTCGGTGGTTTTCAAGATGCCAATCTCCGTGCGATGCAAGCGCTGTTCATCCTCCTCGCGATTGCCACTGTGCGCGCTGTTCGAGTCTCCATCGGAACTTCCCTCCACCGTGATATTGTACATCGAATGGGGCGCTCGCGGCACCATCGACTTGAGCGTGACGTCGGCACTGCGTTGGCCATAATATTCGGGGTAGTAATTGCCGTATGCATTGCGTCGTCCGCTGGTTAAGTTGCGCGTGCTATCCAGCAGCGATTTGACCAAGGTCTTGAGACTAGGTAAGCATGCTGCGATGATAGCAACATTCAATTCCACGCTGTTTCCTGTTGTCAGTCTCAAGCCTCAGACGATCACCGAATGGCTTCGACATACCAGTTCCACACCATGAACGTATCATTCCTGCATATTGCGTGAGCAAAAAGGCGGCCCCATAATACTCCTAGACCGCCACTTACCGGTACACATCCGTCTCCTTGAGCACTTTGATCTGAGCGACAATTTTAATGACTCCAGCAACACAGGCTCTAAATTCAACCCAGATCAGTTCGGTCCCCACGTACGAAGAGCTTCGTCACGTACAAATATCCCAAGCTCAGCACCCCAATCAGTGACGCCTTGGTCCGTAGGTTGACCTGAATCTTGATGAACATCGGTACTGGTAGTGTGGCAAAGATGACGTCCGTCACGAGGTTGGTAACTGGAATGCGATCGGTGTGAGCCTCTGCGAATTAGGAAAGACGGTTGACAAGACACAGGGGAAAACGCACTGCTGTTCCACAGCCCGATGGCCGTGAAAGTACCAGAATCAAAACAGCGCGCATTGGCCCTCAGGCTATAATCCCAGGCCGCAGCCACAGGGATACACTCAAGGATCAGGGTCAAGGCACAGGCAATAGTGAAGGCGACCAGGAAGACTATGATGGTGAGAAACAGAGGTAAGGCTCAGGCGTGAGAGGCCGACAAACCAATCGATCCAACCAAGGCTTTTCGCAGCCAACTCTGCGCGAATCGTCGCAAGAAGACCGCCAGGGAGATCTTGACCAGGCTAAGACCAACCATGACAATGATGGAATGGAAATAGACCACTTTGGCCAGGTACCCAAGATCCTCATTGGAGATGTCTTTGTTGTAACGACCGACTCCATGCTGGGTTTCAACCACGAAGCAAACGAGGACTCCCACAGCGCAAAGCTTGCATGGGGGGGTACTGATTAGAACATGTCGATCTTCTCCATCATGAACCATGCCGATCAAGCCAGAGTCCACTTACCCACGCCCCGAGTATATTGTACTCCTCCGCATTGAACTTCCGCAGAACCAGTCCGCGCACATAGCACCGTAGCAGCACGATCAGCGTGGACAGGCCCGACAACGTCCCAACCACTGCCAAGATGGTCGGAGCGTGGGAGGAGCTGGCCCCCGATCGTGGCCAGAGGGGAACCGCCGTCATATCGACGAAGAAGAAGTCACTGAGCACAGTGACCGCAAGCCATGAGCAGCGGTGGTGAATTGATACATGGAGAAAGGAATACTTGGACGAGTGGCCTTGTTTTTCTTCCTCCCTGTGCAGTCTTGCACAGGAATCACAAGGGACGGTCGGCCGTTTACGAGGCGCAGCCAAGAACGACGTTTCTGCACGGTCCGGGCCTGAATTTCCGATCCTTCTCCGATCCCATACTCGTCAAATGTTACAACTTCGGAAGTTCCATCCACTTGGGGAACCAGGCCGGGAGGTCTGGAGCAGCATAGAAGGTGGGTGGCACTCAAGAGCTAAGCGAGTCATTCCGCCTCGGCTGTCCGGCCGATGGGCTCGAAAGGTCTGAAGACCCTCCTCAAATCTCCTCTTTGGCCAGGCTAGCAGGGATAATGCAGACTCTAGTGTCACTTTCTCATTTATTTTACTCACGCCACGCTCCAGAAGGCCCCCGACGCCGGTAATTATTGCTTCGCGTGGCGCTGCAGGGGCAACGTGGCAGGCATCCTGCAGGCACACTCTAGCGGTCAGCAATCCTACAAGGCTTGTCGACCAGAGACGGCATCTGGGTGAAATCTGGACCCCATGCAAGACATACACTTGGTTTTTGGGGTGGACGACGAGACGATCCGGACGATCACGGGAGGGTTCGACCGTGGAAGGGAGGGAAGATCGAACTCACAGGCCAGCAGTCGCACATTTCCCTGAATCTCGCACTCCACCGGACTCCATTTCGGACTCCATTTCGTATTCCTCTTCTCCTCCGGCCGGAGTCAATTGTCAAATCGGGGAAGACGGATGACAGCGGCTAAGAGCGTAGTGCGGCCGACGAAGTGGTGCTAACGGACCCACTAATAAGCACTAACTTAGATTAAAATATATTGATTATCAATCCTCGACAACCGGCGCCATCGCTTTCCCGCGCTCAAGGAACAATTGAGTGCTCATCCAGTCAGGGGTGGGAGGCAATCTGTCTCCCCGGGGCGCGGGCGGCGCAGAGACCCCTGTCCACGCTTGGCCACGTTCAGCCCGCCCTCAAGATGATAGATTTGCCACCACTATGACAGGTCAATCATCGAATCCGGGGAATAGGTTACTGCACAATCTCTCTTCTCAGTCGATAGCATCTTGGACAAGCAGACGAAGTCTCGAGTGGTAGAGACGAGCAGACGAAGCCTGTCCCCGAGGACACCGGCTGCTCTCGGAAACGAAAGACCCTTAGCGAACAAAGCAACCCCCCCCCCCCCCCCCTTTTCGGTTCGAAATCCGGCTAGAACTGTCTAAAATTGCATTGTATGGCAGGAACCATGCGTATGCTTCGCACTTTTAGTTGCCGACGGTGCAGCGACTAAGAGGTTGTCGTCCCAACTGGTGCCATTTGGAGAGCTTCTCTTAGGGCTATTCGCCCGGTTCCGACCTCCAGACCACCACATGGGCTGATTAGCTTCTTTTTCCCACGAGGCAGCAGCCTTTTCTTGGTCTTCTTGTCTTATCAGGGGCAAAGAAGAAGGACCCGGGACCCAGGAACAGGACTATATAGAGGTAGTGGGCGACCAGCTCTTCTGCGACTTCTCTGTCAGCCCGCTCAGTTCATTCCCGTCCGGTGACTGCTGCTATCATGAAGTTCTCCCTCCTGTCCACTGCGGCTGTGGCTGCTTTGGCTGCTTCGCCTGCCGCTGCCATCCTCGGCACCCCCGATGCCGTGGATAAGCTCTCCAGCAAAGCTCTGGCCACTAAGTTGGCCTATGAGGCCGCTCATGGCTCCAACTCGACCTGCAACATCAAAAATGCGGCAGTTCGTCGCGAGTGGTACGTTTTGACTCCCCGCGCTAAGCTTAAAAGCAATCTCCAAACTCATTCACATGAAACACCAGGTCCTCTTTGGCACCCGCCGATCGGAAGAAGTATACCGATGCGGTGCTGTGCTTGATGAGCAAGCCCCCAAAGTCCGATCCCAGCTTTGCTCCTGGTGCCCGTAACCGTTTCGATGATTTCGTCGCGGTGCACATCAACCAAACCTTGTGGATCCATGGCACAGTAAGGCGCCTTGCTTTCTCCAACTTAATTCTCTGGTAGCTAATCGGATGTAGGGTAACTTTCTCACCTGGCACCGGCTGTTCACCTGGGCCTACGAGACCGCTCTGCGCGACGAGTGTGGCTACGATGGGTACCAGCCCTACTGGGCCTGGAACAAATATGTGAACAACCCGATCAACTCGCCGCTCTTCGATGGCACCGAGTACAGTATGTCTGGTAACGGCGACTATGTCGCTCACAACGGCACCCCGGCCACTGCCTACACCACGCTTCCCCCGGGTGTGGGCGGCGGCTGTGTTACCAACGGTCCTTTCGCCAAGTAAGCCTTCTCTCATCTTCCCTAGCTCTATTTTCCAGTTGGTCCAATCCTAACAAGCCCACCTCCAGCATGACCGTCAACCTCGGCCCCGTCGACCCCACCCTGCAGATCCCCGGCCTGGTGGCCCAGAACGGCACCGGACTGGACTACAACCCGCGCTGTCTGCGCCGCGACATCTCGCCGGTGGCCGCGCAAGGCTGGACCAAGACCAGTGACGTGATGGATCTGATCCAGAACTGCGACGACATCTCGTGCTTCGAGTGGACCATGCAAGGGTTCTTCGAGGAAGGGTTCTTGGGCGTGCACACGGCCGGTCACTTCACCATCGGCGGTGACCCGGGAGGTGTATGTACCCTTCTCCTCTTCTCTCCCATTTATTGATGCACGCTAACCACCCACACCAACAGGACCTCTACGCCTCCCCCGGTGACCCGGCCTTCTACGTCCACCACGGCATGATCGACCGCGTCTTCTGGATCTGGCAGAACCTGAATCCGGCCAACCGCACCTACGTGGTCAAGGGCCCCGACTTCCTCGACGGGCTGATCCCCGGCCCCAACACCACCATCCACGACACCCTCTGGATGGGCAACCTCACCGCCTCGCGCGAGATCTATGATATCCTGGACACGACGGCTGGAACTCCCTTGTGTTATATCTATTTGTAGATTAGAATGTGACATTGCTCGTGTCTGGATCACGGGCGGTGACATGATAGAAATAATAGATTATTTGTTTCAAGATTACTTCGCTTCTGACTGTGGGCAGGTGGCTTTGCGGGTCAGCCACAGCAGCCACAGCAGGCACGGAACACGCGGCGAGGGGAAAGCGGCAGATCGTGGCAGAATGCTTACCGCGGTCATTTTATCTGCATGCCGGGGGACCAATCGAGACGCCCACGATCTGTGAAGGGATAGATGCAAGATGAGCAATGAGGTTGCTCTGTGAGGTTTCTACAAGCATAACTACTCAGCAACACTCTTTCTTCCTCTCATGCATGGTCACAATATTTACCCCTCAGCATAGCATTCCGGATCATGTCTCTTTACGGTCGCAATGGTCGGTTACCTGTGGACGCAATGAACGAACGCAACTCTATGAACAAGGAAATCTATTTTCATGCTAATGACATCAATCCGTGGTATATATGTACAACCCTCAACCGTACAGCTTCTTGATCTCGGCCACCACCGCATCGGTGACCTCCTTGGTGTTGGCCTTGCCGCCCAGATCGGCGGTCAGGACACCGGCCTCGCACACGTTCTCGACGGCGGTAAGCAGCTTCTGGGAGGCATCCGCCTCACCGAGCCACTCGAGCATCTCAGCGGCGGTCCAGAAGGTGGCGACCGGGTTGGCGATACCCTTGCCGGTGATGTCGAAGGCCGAGCCGTGGATGGGCTCGAACATGGAAGGGTTCTGACGGGTGGGGTCAAGGTTGGAGGTGGGGGCGATGCCGATGGAGCCCGCGAGCGCGGCGGCCAGGTCGGAGAGGATATCGGCGTGCTGTTTGGCCCGTTAGTTGCGGTAAGGATGGAGGAGAAAGGCTCAACTCACCAGGTTGGTGGCGACAATGGTGTCGATGGTCTCGGGCTTGAGGACCATGCGGGTGGTCATGGCGTCGACCAGCATCTTGTCGACGGTGACATCGGGGAAGTCCTTGGCGACGGCCTTGGCGACCTCATCCCAGAGGACCATGCCGTTGCGCTGGGCGTTGCTCTTGGTGACCACGGTCAGGAGCTTGCGGGGACGCTTCTGGGCGACCTCGAAGGCGAAGCGCATGATGCGCTCGACACCGACGCGGGAGAAGATGGCCGTCTCCGTGGCGACCTCCCAGGGCTTGCCCGTGTGGGAGCGACCGCCCTGGCCGGCGTACTCGCCCTCGCTGTTCTCGCGGATGATGACCCAGTCGAGGTCGCCGGTCTTGCAGTTGCGGAGCGGGGACTGGGTACCGCGGAAGACCTTGGTGGGGCGGACGTTGGCGTATTGCTGGAAGGGCTGGCAGATGGCCAGGCGGAGACCCCAGAGGGAGATGTGATCGGGGACGTCTGTGTAGTAGTAAATCATTAGATAACTTTCTATATGCGGGGAAGAAGGAAAGTCAATATACCGGGAGCGCCGACGGCACCGAAAAGAATGGCGTCGTGCTTCTTGAGGGAGTCAAGACCGCCATCGGGGATGTACTTTCCGGTCTTCTTGTAGGTGTCGGAGCTCCAGTCGTAATTGGTGAACTCCAGCTTGAAGGTCTTGAGGGTATCGGCCAGGGCGTTCAAGGCAGTAATACCGGCCTCAACGACCTCGGGGCCAATGCCATCGGCGGGGATGGAGGCGATGCTGTAGGACTTGAGGAGAGACATGGTGGCTGTGTGCGGGGTTCGTATGAGAGTGATGAGAGGAGAGAAGAAGCCGGTATCAGCGCGTCGATCGAGGTTTATATCGTCTCTCCAGCCCGGGTCTGTTGCCCCTCACCGAAGGACGGTTTCCCCTCCATGATCTCAGATGGGGGGTGGGGGAACCCGGACTTGTACTCCTCCGCGACTCGGGGCAAGACATGTCCGGTACCACGCGGATGATCGGGACGGGTTTGTATCTGGAGAAGGACGACGATCGATGCAGCCCTGTGGAGTAAAAATAGTGCGATAAATAGGTTACCATGCGAGAGGAGAGGTTGAGAGGCATTGCAAGGTTTGTGTGGAGTCGATTGACGGATTGAGTTGCGAAGAGGAACAGGTTCAGGTTGAGCCCGTGGCGGAAGAGTAATGTGAGTCCTGTACGGAGTTGTCAAAAGATGCAAACATCGCGCTGGCTTGACTTTGTCCGCCGGCGGCGAGTTTCTACGGTGGCAAGTAGGTAGATGACTATCCGGTATCGTCATTATGGAAAATCTTGGATGGAATTATAGTTCATTCCGTCAGAAGCAAAAGAAAGAGTTGGATGTGGTGCATGTTGTGAGCAGACACGCTCAGAAGAAGAGTGGGGGTAAAAAGGAACGGGAGCAAAAAGGCAATCCCCCGAACCAGAATCGAACTGGTGACTTTTCGGTTACAATTTCCATTACAGCCGAACGCCATGAACCAACTAGACCATCGGGGGTTGTTATTGAAACATTCTTCTCTAACACCAAATATATGGACCTTTGCACAAATCAAAAGTACAGCGAAGGATATCGCCGCGCCACTTCCCCCGCCCGATCCGCCCTCCGCCCCTCGGGCGATCCTGACTCCTCTGCCGACCCTACACTGCTCCTGCTGGGAAGACTGGCGGCGGAGATCCCCCGTGGCATCTCATACACGTTCGACGGCGGCACTTCCACCCCCGGTGGCACCCCCGGTGGTGACTTGACCACGGTCCGTTCACACTGGTACTGATCTTGTTTCGCTTCCCGCCACCGTTCGCGCTCCGCCCACCCGCTCAATGGCAACTGCGACCACTCCTGCATGCGTGCATTCTTGGGGCGCAGGTCGGCGGACTTGCGGGTGACCTGCACCACCATGCCTCCGTGAGAGGCATTGAGCTCGCGGATGGTGGTGAGGGCCTCGTACAACGCTTGCTCGGTATCGGCAAGCCGCTGCTCGATCTGATTAAGATACCCGAGTGGCAGTCCTCTGGTTCAGGTCAGCACCCGCTTGAGTAATTGCAGGATGAGCTTCCTTACCGTTTACCGCTTTCTGGGTAGACACACTTGGATGGATCGGGGGAGCATTGCGTGCAGACTGGACTGGGGGTCGGTTAGTTGAGCGCCCGGAGATCGAGCATGCACCGCACATCTATAGAGCGGAGTCACATACAGGGTGCGATCGCACTGGCACATGTCGGAGTTAGAAGGGTATTCCCATTGTCTACTTTCTGAGTCTCGCTCTTTCCGACCTACTGACCTTGCATTTCTTTTGCCTGCATGGCTCGCAGGCAATGGGGCTGAGGGCTTGTTCGGGATCTGATCTCATCAGCTTGCTTCTACTAGTAGCGGGAGATATATTTCTGATCCACTGACCTGACGGCATTCCGATCCTACTGGAACTCAGCGAGGGAAATTATAGAGAAACCAACAGCTCTTAGATTCACACAATGCCGACTTACACTGTCTGCATCATTGAGGCTGCAAATATCTCCTGCTCTACTATCATTCGACTCCTTGCCACCATCGACTCTCTACCAGGGCACCTCATCTGCCATGACGGATTACGGGTTGCAACTCGGCCCGGGGAAAGAAACCTCCGGCGGGGTTTTCCTTCCGGCGCTGCGGCGGTGCAAGGGAACCCGCTGTGCGGTTTCTGCCTGGTGTCTTCCGTGGTTGCCTGATCGAGGTGGGGTCAGTCATGTGATACATTGACTTGCTCCAAACCACACGTGACTGCATAACTGGTTAATCAGGCCACATAAGCCATTTATGCACCATGGTTATGCATATAGCATATCACAATCAAGCTTGGGTCGAAGACAAGCATCGACCATATACCTATACAGAAAGGTCCCTTTTGTAGAGCAGTAGAGATCATCACTCTACCTACCCAGTTTCCCTTTCACTTTCAGAACAGTGAATATCCCACAGTCTTAGTTCAGTATGGCTACCGCTCTCCTCATACCCACTATTATTGAGTACGGATGCCCCCCTCCAAATCAATATTCCTTCATCATTGCTCTTGTGACTCCAGATCCTTCTTCTTTCTGATCCAACCACTTTCTCGTAGCCATATCAAGAACAGCCTTCCTGTTTGGCTGCTATGCTGGTATATCTTAGTACTTACTAGCTTTGTGTGGATGAAAATATCCTCAGGCTGAGTCGTTAGATATACGCTTGTTCATGATGAGTAAGAAAATTAGTAGTAGTTTGGACCCCAGAACCCAATCCGTTTCTTTAGGATGTAGATAGTGAAGCCTTTGGGGCTGAAGGATGAGGTAACCGGTAAATTTCACTACTCCTACTACTACTCGTAATCATGAGAATTGCAAACGCTGGAACGACAGGTGATTGACTATGTTCCACCTGTGAGCTGGCTTCTCCTCTCCTCTCCTCTCTCATCCCTCATCCCTCATCCCTCATCCCCTTCTCTCTCATCTCTAGCCCTGTTCTGTCTTTACATCCTCATCCTCATCCTCATCCTCATCCTCATCCTCATCCTCACCCTCACCCTCGTCCTCATCTTCACCTTCGTCTTAGTCCCCAGACTTCTGTTGACTTTCAGTCGGTATACCGTGTCACCTTTAACCTCACTTTTATTCTCGTCACTGTTTCTAATTCCATCCTCATTTCAATCGTCGTCATTCCATCGTCATACTCCTCATCCTTCGTCTCTTAGCTTCTCTTTACATGTTATCGGTGTCTGTATCCTTATTTCATCACGACACAGCTTCCTATCATGTGTGAACACATACTCGAGGCACGGATCTGAAACTCCCGGCACATGCTCGGGGAGCCCTTACCTTGGGTCTCAATCAGACCAAGGATCATACTGTGCAGGCAGCCATGAGGCTCCGACAGCTCGGAACAACGCAGTCTGTGGTTTTCATCGCGCCTCCAGAAGTGCATTTGAATATTCTTGACGTCTGCGGCAAGCACCAAGACGAGGAGCTCGACTCCTCCGACGTTGTGTACTGGCTATTGCACCAGACCTGTGCCAGTGACAGGGATCTCGAGCCGCTATACAATGCGCAAGGCGTCGACTTCTGTCGCCGCATACAGGCCGCTGAAGACCACCCTCACTTCGTCAAGAACCAACTTCAGCGAAAGTACTACATGGGAATCCTGCAGCAGCCCGAGCAGCAGACTCTGGAGCAGCTTTACAAGCCGGCACCCACCGATGCGAGCGACGGAGACTCGAATTCGTCGAATGATCTCACATATTCGGGCCAAGCCGCCAACTTCATCGAAGTCCTGCGACAGCGACGCGCGGAAGGCAAGGGTGTTCATGACTCGACCATCAACAGTTCCGCGCTGGAAGAAGTCGAGCAGGAGCGAGAGGTTGCGTACGAGGTCGAAGAAGAGCGCGAGGTCGAGCGCCCTAAGTTGTTGAAGCCGTACACGTATCCCGGCCTGCATCGAAGCCTATCGCAGTTTGCGGAGACTGGTTCCCTCGCGGGTGTGGGGTATGTGCCTGCGGAGAGTATGGTGTTTGAAACTGAACTCGGTGGCAAGTACAGAGGCAAGGTGGATTTGAGCCTGCCACATCTATACGTGTCGGTGGAGTTCACCAAGACGGTCAAGCTGAAGCCGGGAGAGAAGATGGATGAGCTGACGGTGATTTACTCATGACTACTGATCGGAACTATGTACGTACGTGCTAACGGATTCCCTCAGCGCCCGGTAAATTGGCTTCTTTGCAACATCAGAACCGAAATCGCCATTGTAGTCACTCCCGAAGAAGCCGAGGACCTAATCCCGATTCTCCGCAACGAGGCAGCACCCTCGAGCACCTCATGACCTACGCGGCGCCGGTCACCAAGCGTATGCAGCACTTCAGCAACCTGGACTACTACACCGTCCCCCCTCTTCCAGTCGCGAAATATGTGCCCGCATTCCTGGCATTCGAGGTCGACATTTTCGCTGGAAGACTCTATTTCGGCCCACGTGAGTACGAAGAGATTCTGGACCGCCTGGCCCTAGAATGGGACGATGCGGCTGGCAGTGCGGTGACTCCTGCGGAAGGGTCCTCCCTCAGCATGGTCTTTCTGCAAGAATGGCTGGCATTGAGACGGCAGGGCCAGGATATCTCTCACACGCCGATGGGATACGTTTGTCAAGGCCGGATGCTGCGTCCCGACCACCCGTTCTTCGTGCAGTCGGATACCCGCCAGACCACAGACAGTATTTTCCATTCTTCCGGGAAGAATGTGAGTGCTGAGGAACAAGAAGAGTATTGGGATAGCGACGAGGGAGAGGAGGATGAGGCGGAACAATCCGATCTGGATGTGGAGGATGATGAGGACTTTGAAGAGGAGATTTAGGGTGCTGCAAGGGTGCTGGCAGGAGGATTGGAGAGTGGGACGAGTTTGGTGTTGAGCTTTCGTGAGCTGGTGTACTGGGAGGTGGTGATATGCTGTCTATTACAGTACATTCTCGGGTCAGTTATCTGCACTGGCAAGTATCCCAGTTGTTGGGATGCTGCTTGAATAAGATGCCTGCTGCATATTTAGACCAAGGTGGTTGAGAATTGGATGTTGGTGAAGAAAGTTCATAAGACAAAGGAATTCAGTGATGCGTCTGCAATGGTTTTTTTTTCCCAATAGAAAAGCTTAAGTCACTTTAGTTACTGCTTACTACAGTACTAGGTAGTATGCAATAACCACATCGCTGTCCCCTCGGCCTCTGCCCTAGCTTACTAGCTTACCCTACCCGTCTGAGAGAGATACTAGGTGTAGGCTGTACTGTACTGTACTGGACAGTGATTACTTGTGACAAAACCATTTATCGATCTTTCCCAGGCGGTTCTTACGGCTTGCACGTGCTGACTGTGTGTGGCTGTGCTGGCTTGACATGTCAATCGGTCAGCCTGCCCAAGTCAGCCTTGCCAGCAGCCTTGCCAGCAGCCTTGCCAGCAGCCTTGCCCTACGTCTTTAATATTCTCCTACAGTACTGTACTCTCCCTCCGTCACCCAAAGTCCCTTCATGATCCACTTCATAAACAGAACATAGGGTACTGTACATGACACGTCCACTTGTGAGACCAGAAAGCACACGAGTAATACAGTAAACCAGGTACAAAGGCATTTTTTCCCATCTGCTAACCCTATAAACAGCTTCCGTAACGGAACACCCTTGCTTCTTAATCCGCGTCCGCCATGCTCACATCACTATCGTCGTCCGCGGCACGGAATGCATCGCGTGCCACCAAAGCACTGTAAGTCCGGTGTTGAAGCTGTCCAACGCGACGCGTCCGCTCCGGGGACCAGTGCGCGCCGACGAGGCTGTGGATCAGGACCACCGCGCCCCGCAAGCGGAAACACGCCTCTATGATCAGCCCCAGCCACGGCTGGAGCTCCTCCACGGGGGCCGGGTCCATCAGAAGGACCTCACGTCCTCCGCAGATCTCCACCAGAGCATGCAGGCCCCCGGGAAATCCTTCCGTCATGTGTTCGCGATGGACTTCCACTTCCAGCAGGTCAAGCAGATTTAATCGCGATTGTAGGGTCCGGTAGACCTGTGCGGCGCGCTCGGTCCCAGGGTGGAAGGGGAAGGTGGTGCTCTCGCGCGGGAGGCCGAAGTAGGTCCAGTCGGCCTGCCAGAGGTTGTTGAACAGGGCAGCGGCAGGAGGAGGACGTCCGTAGACGAGGCTGGGATTGCTTTGGGGGAACAGTGGGTGTAAAACCGGTCGGATCTGGGCAGGATCATCGAATGAGTATGGATCTTTGCTTGAGAAGAGAGGTAGGGAGTCAACGAGCTTGCAGGAGGCATAGAAGAGAAACGGTGAGGGATAAGGAAGTGACGGTGCTAGATAGACACACCTCTTCTTCGCCTGCATGAGCATCTGTAGGTCTCACGCCATGCGTGAGAGTCACAGGATAAAAGGCAGAGTGGTTGCTTCCATGGCTCATCGTGCCCTTGGTGTGGGTGCTTGTGGTCTGGGTTCGGAGCACGATTTTGCCTGGATTTAAAATGTGATCGGCTTGGGATGGAAGAGTGTCAACTTAAGCACGACAAGGAATCTCTGGAGGTTTATGGAGGTCCCTTCTTATATATCCATCTTCGTTCACCTCTGTCCATTCTGTCGACCTCTGTTCATCTGTTTAGGTATGCACAGCAATGGAAAAGGGAAAAGACCTCCCAGTCTGTTCTGCTGCAGAGCAGCAATTTCCTGTACCCTCTTTGGCGACTGCTACCATTCGCTATGACTCCTATGTTGCGCCTGCGAGTGCGAATGTGTAAATGAACGGCTAGGTCTTACTACCTTAGTCCTGACATGCATAAAAAAGGTGGCCATTGAAAAGTATCGATCAACCAGTATCAAAGGCGACGACCTCCGTTGACGAGGAAAGCGACGTGTCTTGCCATCAAGCTGAAAACAGAATGGTTCAGGAACAATCCGAGCTTTCTGTACGCTAACCTACGTACTAAGGCAGGATCTAAGCAGGAAACGTGTTACTATGCATTTTAAGCCTCGAGGGAAAGGTGGGGAGGAGGCCGAAACGGGGCGAGTTGGGTAGAGATAGGAAGGGATAGAAAGAGGTAGGAGGAGGTAGGAGGAGGTAGGAGGAGGTAGGAGGAGGTAGGAGGAGGTAGGAGGAGGTGGGAGGAGGTAGGAGGAGGTAGGAGGAGGCAGAAAAGGATAGATATCAAGCTCTTCCTGGCTAGTATTCGATGCTATGCCTGTCGATCTGTTTCACACAGATGATCATAAATACAGTATTGCACAGTACCTCGGTGGCTGGTATGGCTCTACTAATGGCGTAGGCTACCCATAAACAGACCACAGTCGTGCTATGTGGCTGTGATGCTTTCAAACCATGGATGGGTCTCTAATCCCGACGTATCCAGAATTTCCAGAAGAGCTACGACAGATAGAGGGAGGGAGAGGAAGATCACGGAGAACTGCGTAACCTCGTACTCACGAATGGAAAGTTATCGGACCAGCTCCTTACCAGCTCCGCTGCCTGTGAAAACGAAGAGCTGTCGCCAGTTGGCCACGCTGCCACCGATGGCCATGGCTTGTGGACGGTCAGTTCCAGGCCGAAAATCGAATGTCAAGTGTCAGATTCAGGGGCAACGTGATTGTGATTGGCACGAATCTTGCCACTAGATATCGTACTAGTAAGGCTGGGGCAGAATAGCCCATCAGAGCCCATGGCATTGCAACAATGAGGTGGAATCTGACAAGCGGTTAGGTACTTAAGGTACTGTACTGTCCGTATGAGTGATTGATCATTGATGCCTAACCTGGAGCGACGAGGAGGACTGAACCCACCTGGGTATGGCTGGCGGTGGTAGACTAATCACCAGCCTGTTTTCATTCAGCTGGAAACGTAGTTTGAATGGTGTTATCTACCTCTATTTTGCTGTTTCCTTGACTACCTCCGTAAGCCCTGGCTGCTTACTTGACCTTACTGACCCTACCCCGACTGATGAGAGACAGCGTCCGATGTGGTGTAACGTGAAGTCGAGACTAAGACTGACGGGGAAGAGAGCCCGGGCCCTGAGTCCCTGCTGTTTTTGCACCCCTGACTCCTAGTTAGTAGACTGGTAGAACAATCTCGCCTGTGAAGTGACACAAAATTGGCCCAGGTGGTTGAGAATAATGTGGATAAGTCTATCAGGCCTGGCTGCAGCTTGTCATCTCCCAGCACGAGCTACTTAATCTGTTGTCCAGAATAAATGCACGTGTATGTGCACCCCTCACATCAAGTGAGTCAAGCGGTAGGCTTGATGGTCTACCTGCCTGGACAACTGATAGTTGGGCAGCCTACAACTTAGTCTACAGATTAGTCTAGGCCTGCGTTGTCTCCTCCACAGGTCCATGGCTGGATTCCAGAGACTTGTGCGTTGGAACTGGATTAAAGTAGACTTGTTGAAAGGTACTGTACCTTGCTGTGTAACAGAGATTCTGCGCCCTGCGGAGCAAATGCACACAATTACATATGGTGGCATGTCCTTATAATTTTCTGCGTACTTTGTTCTTGGGTATGATCTACTCCTTCGCTTCCTAGACTCGCCCGCCGCTGGTTGCGACGCGACGGCTGTGTGGCTGTAGGCACTGCGCTAGGTCGCGTATGCGGTCAGCAAACTGGCAGTGATCAGTAATCACGTGGTTTTCTTGGGTTTTGGGGGAAAATACCTCAAGAGTGAGTAGTTATCTTTTGTCGGCATACAGGATTTGCCGAACCGCTCTCCGCGCTTTGCATTCATTTCCCCAGTTTATCTGGGGCTGCCAAAAACATACAACAGAAGGGATTCGCTGGTGGTCACCCACCCAACTACTAACCTCCCGGCGTGTGGCTTAAGTACGGCTGAGCGGACGGGAAGCCCTGTTTTCCACACCCTGTGGTCGTATGTATTGTCTTTTAGAAGGGAAGAGCTTATATTGCCATGGTTTTCAATCCAAAGCAAATACCATGTACAGCACATCTGCCTATATAGTTTGATGACTACATGCTGTACTGTAAGGATGAGTGTAGAACTGCATCTGCAGATGACAGCCGGGTGCTAATTCTCGGTCTAGCAAATGTGATTAGGATATATATCTGGGAAACCGCAACGAGCACAAAGCCAGAAAGCATGAACCCAGTCGGGCAAGTAAAATCGCTTGATGATAGAGAGAAGTGAGATATGGCAATTGAAATGCGTCAGTCAAGAAGGGATCTCCCTTGGCCAGTCAGAAAGACGGCCGGCGTCCCTAGAGACAGATCACGTGACTCGAGATATCTACACGCAGAGAATCTCCAACTACTCAACCACCAGGAATGAAGAACTCGTTCCAAACCGCACATGCCCGAGATTTATCTCATTGCTTGCAAAGATGATACGGAATCTGAAGCCTGCATACGATGGGTGACAAGCATCGAGGTGCAGTACAGTACAATATACCGCGGCCTAGAATCCCCACACCTAAGCCGATCCGGTCACATTATCGATCTTGGTAAGAGGCAGCCTCCATGTCTTCCATGTACATACAGTATATGCTTGAGATAATCCCTCCTTAGTACCCATCAATCCCCACTCAGATCAGTCCCACCCCCGAAGTGTCCCCGAACCGTGGCCTTGGTGTTCGATCCCACGCCAACCACCGGAAACAACCGTCCCAATGACCCACCGCGGGGCGAGACACTGCTTACTGGTCTGCTGTTCAAGGTATAGAAAATTGTATTTTGGTCGAAATCGACCCCACAGCCGATGATATCCCCCACTTCAACCTGAAAAGACCCTGTTGGGGATGATCTTGGTGGTGGCTGCTTCTGCCGCCGTGCTTGCTGGTGGGATTGGGAAGAAGAGTTGGCGTAGACAATCCAGACAGGGGCCTGTGCTGGTGGAGTCATTCTTTTGTCGGGGTAGACGGCACTTTCCAGGGACGCGTAGCGACTGCAGTACCCAATGCTAATGAGTCTGTTACATTGTATTGTCAGATGAGGTTCAATATCTCGATTGCTCGGGAAGAGAGGTTTGAAAAAGACAGAACGGGGAGAGGAAGAGAGCTCGAGGCGCTCGATTGCCTGGGCACTGCACTTACGGAAATTCCTCTGAACTCTCCAGCATCTTGATCTCGTAGTAATAGCTACGGAGACCTGCAGGAACCGGGTGATCTGCCCTCACCAGGCGGCAAATGACGGGATTTGTGGCTGAGGCTGGATGTGCAGAGGCGCTCGTGGAAATTTCCACTCCACTGTCTCCAACCTGGATCTCGCCATGCTTATCATTCACGTTCCAACGTGTCGGAGGGGAGCCGCGAGCCGTCGGCTTGAATTTGGCATGGTATGCCATGAGGAAGTGGGTGGTACTGCGGGGTGACAGCAGACGCAACGTCCGCTCGCGTTTCTCTTGAATCGCGAGGGCGAGCACATCCCAGCCGTGCTCATCGTCCGGTTGATCTGGATGTTGGTCAAGCAGCAACTCAATCAGCTCCACCGCATCCTGGATCACCGCGTAGTCGAGAAGATCAGGCCCGGGCTTCAGGTTGGGAACCTGTTGGATGATGGTACACAGGGTTGGCACAAACGAAGCTTTCTGGTCTGCGTTTGTCGTCATCTGCCAGCCCTCGAACGCCAGATCCAGAATCGAGTGCCGGTCTTCCGTTAGGGCTTCCGGACTAGGATCGTGCTCGAGGAGGAACTTGACAAGATCTGCGGCCCCGTGAGCCGCCGCCAGATGCAGAGGGGTCGCTCCTTGCTGGTTGCGCTTTGCGCACATGCGGGGGCCGTTGCCGTGCTCAATGAGTGTCTTTGCGGCAATCGCATTCCCGTTGGTGGCGGCGCGATGGAGGAGGGTATTATGAGAAAGACTCGGGGTGTACAGAACCTCTTCGAGGTCCCCCTCAGTCCCAAGTGTACGGAGCAGGTAATTGAGGATGTCGTTGGCATTCTCATCCACGGCCTGAAAGACCGGATCACGGCCCAGCTTATCCTGGGTGCGGAGAGTGGCCTTCGCATCGACGAGCAATCTTACCAGGGACAGGTTGCATGTTCTAATTGCTGCGTGGAGTGCGGTCTGCCCGAATACATTCTCGGTATCGTTTACATCGGCCCCCGCATCAATCAAAAGCGTCGCGGCCTCAATATTCGCCAACTGAATTGCGGTATACAACGGGGCACGGCTGTCTTTATCCTGTGCGTCGAAATTGGCGCCGGCTCCCAAGAGGGCCCCGATGATCGAGACAGAGTCTGGAGCAGCAGGGGCATCATGCAAAGGCGTTCGCCCCAGTTTATCCGGTTGATTAACATCAGCTTGATGGGACAACAGGAGCTCGACCATCTCCCAGGCTCCTTGCTTGAGAAGAACCGCCTGGTGGAGACATGTTCGGCCATCTTCTTTATGCTCTCCTGCGGCGTTGATGTCAGCCCCTTGACGAAGAATCCGCTCGCACAGATCCTGATTGCTGGTCTGAACTGCGAATTGCAAGCATGTCCGGCCTTCCTTGTCAGCCACGTCGGGATCTGCTTTGTTCTTCAGCAGATACTCGATCTTTTCCATCTGTGGTGGAGAGCTGCCGAAGAGCATCAGAAGGGGTGTGGTGCCATTCTGATTCTTGAGATTAATGCTTGCGCTTCGCTCGATGAGAACCTCCATCACCCTCTTTCCCCCATCCAACAAGCAGCAGAGATGGAGTGGACTGTTCCCTTGCTGGTTTGGAATGTTGGGATCTGTACCCTGATCGAGATAGTGCTCGACCAGTCCCACCAGCCCATATGCCGCCGCAATATGGATCGGGTGGTCCTGCCGGCCAAAGGGCAAGGGATGGTGGGACAGATCCTGCCAGTATTGTCGAGCCAATGATCTGGTCTTCAGGAAATGCTGGGCCAAGCGGTAGATAGTGTTGAATTGTTCCTGGACCTCGACTGGCCGAACCCACGTGTGCCAATACTCCTCTGCCATTCGGACATGGTAGGTCCAGTACCGCAGCTCATACCTGGGGATCTGGTCCTGATACTCTCGCAGGCTATCGGGTCTTGTCCGGTCAGCCCTGTTTTCAGTTACATTGCATGGCCCATCTTCCAGCCTCATATACTGACTTTGAAAGGTCGGGGAGTTCAGATGACGCAGTAAGACCTCACTCATCTGCAAGTGTCCAAACATGGGTCCTGCCAGGTGAGAGGATATGACGAGCTTCACCTTCTGGCAGACGTGGCAGCGAGACTCAGGATGAAAGTGATGTGACTCATCATGTTTAATGAAGTCTCGGATTGAACTGTGCTGCAGCTCAATCCTCCCTTCTTGGATGCGGAAAAAGTTACGCCCAATGGTTGCCAACTTACTGGCAAAGTCTTCTGCAATCCGGGACTCACTCATGCTCTCCAGGTCATCCTCCTTGGGCGGAGAATCATTCTCCACAGGCCTGTCATCTATGCCATCCGCGAAATCGTTGTCGGACCATCCATAGTCACTGGGAGCCGAACTGAAATCGGCCCTGTCCGTCTCCTCGATTATGTCCCCGCCTTGCTCCTCCTCGTCTTCAAATGCCCTCTCGATTTCCTCCTGGATGAGCTCGCACCGAATCTCCCCTTGACCACAAATAAGCCAGCGAAGGGCGATTAAGAGGGTCTTGCGATCACTGGGATTTAAGCCTTCCAAAGCTGTGCGATAAAGCTCATTCATGCCGATGGGCAACTCCTTCAGCATTTCCCTGTACGTTGCCTTTTTCCCATCCAAATGCTCCAGTCGCTTGAAAATCACATCGATATCTATGAGGCTGTTCAGTCAAGGCGGCTCCATGATCCCATCGGACATACCAGACATTTGACTTACATCGAAACATTCCTTGCGACGTTTTTGCGATTGTGTCGGCCGCGCTTCGCCTGTTGTCCTTCGTCCAGCTTTTGTAAGTTCCCAGCCGAAAGAGGATATAAGCCTTGATATCTTCCTTGTTACTCGATTGATCGACGGAGATAGTTGGAAAACCCATCAAGCTCTTAGCCATGTCGCCGTGCGGCCGGCTCGCAACGAAGACGCGTACAGTTCCCTCGCACTGGAGCATGGATTTGATGCCGGCCAACAGTCCGTCGACCCAGTCCACACACTCATCAATCGCGTCAATCACGACGTAGACCCTGGAAGAGACAAGTTGCACCAGGCGATGGAACATGGGAAGGAGCACCGTGGCTATTGAGGAATTGGTAGAGCACTCTCCGCCATACGGCCGCAGGACATCTCTGGCCTCGTTGATGATGCGCGACAACTGCTGTCGACGATCTGTTCGCGCTTCATGAGCCTTGTCCGCGCAATCGCCGTGCCCTAATCGAGGCGCTTCGTCTAATCCAATGACCAGTTGGCGGAGCAAGTGTAGCATGATCTGGATCCCCTGACTGGTGGTTTTGTCTCCGGATTGACAGAAGAAGTAGAGCACCTGGGTGCCATCCTTCCTGTGCTGCGCAACCTTGTGAAGCTTCTCCACCATGGTGGCCGTGAGTATCGATTTGCCGAATCCCGCTTCGCCCTGCAGCCACAGAAGGCTGGACTGGTTGTCGCCATCACCATCGCCTTCGGCGTAGCGGGTGAACTTCACCACCTCAGGGTGTGTCGTAATCCACCTACCTGTTTCATCCTGGCGCATGCGAAGATGGTCCTCGAGCAGCCTACCGGGTAGTCCTTCATCTGCAATGCCACCAGTGCGGAACCATCGCACCTGCTGGTCGAAGTCGAGGTAGGTGGACATCTGTCGCGTCTGACTGACCCCGTCGACAACCAGACCCTGGGTAACTTTGTTATCCTGCATGGCGACCTCGATCAGCTGCGGCAATCGATGGAGACCCTTGAGACCCCCCAGCACGTGCTGCGCTGCGTCCTGGAAGGCGATGTTGGCGATGGCTTCCACCTCCCCTTTCAATGCCTTCAGTCTCTCCAGGAGGTCGGCCAGCTCCTTCGAACTCCCCGTCACAATGTCCCGAACCATCCGACTGGCCTTGTTGTGCTCAAAGAACCGGGGCGCTCGATACCCGAAGAGCAGCACGGTCGCATAGACGTGGGGTAGCTTGGCCGCGAGCTTCTGATGGATCTGCGGGTCGACCTCCACCTCTTCGTCGTCATCGCGGCCAACCTCCCCGTACCGCTGCGCGTAGACGTCACAGAAGAACATGACATCGGAGACCTCATCGACGGCGCCCACCAGAAACTGGCAATGTTTCATGTCTTCCCTGACGGTGCGGAAGATCATGCGGAAGGCGCACCACACGACCGAGACGGTTTCCGGGGCGAACTCCATGCACTTATCCCCGTACTGCTGCATGGCTTCCAACCGGTCCATGATCGTATGCAGCTTGGGCCCCAGCTTGCCCCCTCCCCCGTATTCCTGCGCCACGTGGTCTGAGAACTGCCGCAGCTCGAAGATGGTGTCTGCGAGGTTGGTTCTATCCGACACTTTCGTGCGTTCTTTCTCCGGGAGCGCCTTTTGGAAAATCTTCCGTCCTTCCTCCCAGTATGCCTCGAGGACGTGAGCGGAAGATTGAGCTTTCGTTCCAATTGTATGAGGTGTATGAGGTGTGCGGGGTGTCTGAGGAGGATGGTGGTCCGGCTGGATGGGTGGCATTTTGGGTTCTTGTGTTGGTGTCGGGGCTCTGTGATTGTTGCTTCGCTCCCCCTTTTGCCCTGCAGAGTGGGGGAAGGGGAGTCGAGGAAGGCGGAGTTTCATTGCTTGCTGTCAGAGACACGAAAGTCTTTGCACCTTTCTGCCCTCAAACAGGAGGATCAGCCCCCTTTGAAAGGGTGATGCTTTGTTTTTGCTTTTCTTTTCAGCTGAAAGACCATGTCCACGTCAGGTTGCATTAGCTCGGGGCTACTAGTGGTGTATGTGTCCCTATTCCCCACCTCGACATGCTAGCCTTCTGATAAGGAGCCTTACTGGACACACTTCGCTTCAGGATGCGGGGGTGTTTGCTCCATGAGTCTCGTCCACGGTCTGTCTTAGCGATTGTCCCTCTTTTACTACTATTATTCGGCCTCACCCGCAGGGAATTGTGGGAGCAGTGAAGATCATTGGAAGCTTGCTCGCCTTCGCGGCCCTAAGATTGGCATCCTGCAGTAGTTCGGCGGCAAACCTCTCAGCTGTCAATTCTAACCGAGTAGACAGATTGGATGGGACCTGTCCTCTCATCCGCCTTCTGGAGATTGGGCTGGTCTCAATACTTTTTAGAATGACACATCAAAGCCCGCTTCTGAGAACGGACGCAATCCATCAGTGAGTTTCTTTCGATATTTCCCCACGCCCCGATGTCTGTCCACTTTGAACTGCAGCTAGATGAGCTGGAGCCTGTGGCATTGAGTGACAGAAAGTGCTGCCAGGTATGAAAATGGCCTACGTATGGTGGATTTGGGATCGTGCAGCACAGAGGGCTGACTAGCCTCCAACAGAGGGTTAAGTAGGGCTCCGATGGGGAGTAGCTTGAGGCACGAGAATTTGCCTCATTTGACATGCAACCCTACACATGTTGACTTTAAACTTGAAGATTCATACAACACCCACCCTGGTAGTTGGGCGAAACAGACAAGATTGACTACGGTCAGCATACCAGCTATGATTCTCTTTAGATGGATCATTTCACCGCGTGCAGAAGCTCCTATTGCGGAATTATGGCCCCTCCCCAGTCTTTCGTCATATGCGATAAACTACCAATGTTCACCACCCCTGCTGCTCGGTCTAGAATATGCAGCTTTTACAGTCAGAGGCCCGGGATTCTCGAATGCCTCAAAACCTGTGTCTAGCCATGGGTCAATAATTTCCATTACCGACATGCAGGTGGTACTGAAGTTCATCTCACGTCATCAGTCAGTGCGACCGATGGCCTAGCCCATCGTTCATATGCATCGGCAGGTGTTTAGAAACGCGATTCAACCTCCTTGATTGATATGTTGAGTACAGGCAACGGCCTCGATCGTCTTTTTCCCAACACGAGGACCTACACTACCCAAAATGAGCGCAGAGTCCTACCGCACAGTTACAGAGATTCACCTGCCATCCGATTCTACTCTTTCAGCGACACTTCGCGGTGCTCCTGAACATCCCATTTTCGAGACTGAGGTTTTCGAATACCACTGTAGGCTCCTTGAATCCACCGAAACATCACAGGAGCTTGAAGAAGAATAGTGTTCGCCGACGAATTTGCACACAATCAAGGTATGCTATTCACGAATTGCAGCTCTGTCCGCACGCTGATATCGAAATTGAAAGTGCTCGTACTCGAGATTTGACATCGAGGTGGCTGCCTTGCAGATCGACCAGAGCAATCTGAACACGCAACGCATGCTAGATCTCATGGCAGTGGGTCAGGAAAATGGTCCCATCCAGCTATCTATGCATACGGTCCAGCGCATTCTCCGTGAGATGCGCATTGTACAGCAGGCCACGAATGGCGAGTTCGACTACCAGGAATTTAGAAGGAGGGTCATGGTCTCGGGTCTGACTCCGGCGCAGCTGGAACCTCTGAAACAGCGGCTGGACTCTGGAGAGCTTTATGCCGCAGCTTCTTAGGAATGCCTGGTTGACGCCGCAGAGAATCTCCCGGGGGTCAGACTGGCAGCCAAAGGTTCGTTGGGACGGGCTCTCTTTCTCTCACGAATGCAGCAAGCGTAACATGTGACGATAGGCTCGTCGCTTGATCATCGTCGATCTGTCCTGTCCGTGCATCTCGCCCGAGACGGCGTGTGCATTGTTCAACGTCTGCTTGACCATCTTCCTCGAGCAGGGCCCGGAAACGGCTAGAGTCGTTGCATTAGATGAGGCACACAAGATCCTTAGCTACTCCGCCTCATTCTTCTATTTGTCTCACAGGTAATGACCACTGCATGTAGTATATGAATGCCTCAATCGAGGCCCGCAAATTCACCGACACCCTTTTGTCGGCCGTCCGGCTGCAGCGCCACCTCGGGGTCCGCATGATTATCTTCACCCAGGAGCCCACAATCTCGGCCACCCTGCTCAGTCTGTGCTCAACCACAATCGTCCATCGATTCACGTCTCCCAACTGGCTCAAGGTCTTGCACAGACACCTCGCCGGCGCCGTCGAGGAGCCCCACCGGAGCGATTGCGATGACCCCAGCGTCCAATCGCACGTCTCACTGCTCAACCAGATTGTAGACCTTCAAGTCGGCGAGGCGCTTCTCTTCTCGCCCAGTTCTTCACGGACCTGATTTGCCCTGTTAGCCCACTACTCCTCACCGTCGTCGAAGAAAGGGGATCTGCCACGCAATCTACTTGATCAAAGCAAGAATACTCGAGGAAGTGTACTTCAATGTCATGAGCCGCCGGGACTATGTTGGTATATTTCCGCTTGAGAAGAAAAAAGTACAGCATTTAGACCTGCGGTGATGGTAACTACGGTCTACTATAGTTCATTGTAATCATCCGACATCGACGCAGGTTGTTATGAAAGTAAGGCTGTAGTAAGACGGGGCATAGGCGTCACTTAGAGCTTTCAAGGCGGTCGAACATAGTTCCCCAATCAATACTTCTTTACTAGGACGTGATTCAAGAAAGGAGTCGAAACATTTGTCAAGTAGGAACAGGCCGGGCTAGTGTCAGGCTTCAAACATGCATAGGAGGAGGCCGAACCCTAATATGGACGATCCACAGTGAAGTGAGGTGTGCCAATCCATGGTGCAGAGTGAAAAGTCCTGTCTGCCCTTGCTTACTCTTCTGCCACGGAATGCTCGCCGGTCGCGCGAAGAAGCTCTGCAAATATGGACGGCTGCGCTGCCAAGGTGGCGGGGTGTCCACATTCCACAACGCAACCCTGGTCCAACACGATGATCTGATCGTAATCCAAGATCGTGTTGAGTCGATGCGCGATGCACACCACGGTATGATCGCGGAATTGCTTACGAAGAACATCGAGAATGAGAGCCTCTGTCTCCTGGTCGACACTGTGTGGTTGAACACGGGGAATATTAGCTTGAGAAGTCTAGAAACAGACAGAAATGTAAAGGGTTAACAACAGGTCCCGCCTTACCTGCTTGTCGCCTCATCCAGAATCAGTATCTTTGAGGTCCGCAGCGATGCCCGGACGACGCACAAAAGCTGTCTCTGGCCGTGGGAGAGCATGTCCTCGCTCATCGACACGTCCAGGCCACCTTTCTGGACGATGAGCTCCTGCAGTCCGAGCCTCGCTAGGATTTCATACAAGTCCTCATCCGAGTGTTGGCCGTGAATGTCGAGGTTCTCCCGGATCGTGCCGTGAAGGAAGAACGGCTCCTGGGGCAGAGTGATCAGCCTCGAGCGGACGTCCTGCCGTGCAAGGGTGGAAATGTCCACTCCGTCGATCTCGATCGTGCCGCTGCGCAGGTCCAGGAGTCGCAACAGCGATCCCACGAGGGAGCTCTTACCACTGATGGTCGTGGTTAGCGAAGGTGCTCATCCTGACGGCCTGGATGGTCTAAATGCTCAGCAGAAGGATGCGTACCTGCCAGTTCGGCCGCAAATCGCGAGTTTCTGTCCCGGCTGGACTTCCAGAGAGACATTCTTGAGCACGGGTGGGGACTCGCAGCTGTCAAGACAGAGTCAGCCTTTACTTGAGCGCCACATCTCCACTGGTCACTCACTTGTAGGCTGCCGAGACTTCATGAAACCGGATGAGGCCTTGCTGCGGCCAATCCGGGGGCGGAGGAGGCTCCCTTGGACCCGGCTGTTCTTCGGACGGGGTGGTCGAGGTGAAATCTCGAATGCGGGCAATGGCACCCATGGCGATCTCCAAGGCGGTCCAGTTGTAGACGAGGCCCTTCAGATTTGCGCCGAACGCCACCACATTAACCAGCGCCAGACCAATGGATGCCCCCGTCGACGTCCGGGTCGTGACTGCAATGCTGACCAGGATGATGGCCAAGACCGCGACAATCATATCCAAGGTGAGCGTGAGCCACAGCTGGGCACAGTAGAGAAGATATAACGACTGCTGGGCGGTCCCGAGCAGCCGATCGTTCTGCGCGGTGTAGGACCGCGTCCAGCCAAATGCACGGATACTGCTCAGCCCTTGCAGGGTTTCCATAAAGTGAGACAGGAGAGGCGCTCGGGCTTCGATCTCGAGGATCCGCAGTTGTCGCGAGGTCTTGAGATAGAAGATTTGCACCAGGTACAACAGCCCGATCAGGAAGGGCACCGTGGCGGCGATGTAGTGAGAGCTATACAGGATCACGGCCAGTTCGCCGACGCACAGGACGAGCGCCATCATCGTGCCGATGAGTGACCGCGGGAGTTCCATGTCCACCAGTTCGAGATCCTGGCTAAATCGGTTGGTGATCTCACCACTGTCGGTAACGGAGAAGAATCCCAATGGGGCCCTGGAGAGACACATCAGCAATCTTGCTCTCCTTGGAAGCTGACTGGACAGTCGAACTCAACCTTAGCACTGTCTTGAGAAGAAGATCGTGGAATTCCTTGGCGGTTTTTGGAACCATGAAGAGCATAAGTTGCCTGCACCGATTGATTTCAATATTTGTCTCCGTGCGGCAACTCGAGGCTTTTTCTTTGTGAAGCACTTACAAGCATGCACCCAGGAAGAGTAGGATAGCCAAGACTGACCACAGCGCGTATAGTCCAAGATAGTACCCTAGTCGATCATTGGCTTTTCTAGCGTTGGCTTCGACCCAGAACTTGATCCAGATCTCTTCGGGCATTTGTCTCGCGGTGAGTATAAGTGAAGAAACGGAGGAAGAAAGAGGATATACGGCGACTTACGGGAGAAAAGCAAGCCAGCTACAAAGCCAGAGCACAGGACAAAGAAGATGCAGAATGACACGCGCCCCGTCTTGTCCACGTAGAACTTGTAAATGGTCAGATCACTGGCAGGCCGGTTGTCAGCATTCAGGTTCGCACTGCGGAGAGCAGGGTCAGTGAGTGCAGGATCCGGATCGTCACTCCTGCGTTGCACTTGTTCATTCCGTCCCTCTTTCAAATTCAGACTCGCCAGATATCCTTCCGAGCGAACCAGGTCCGAATAGACGCCCTGCTCGACGACTGTGCCGCCTGGCCCTAACACAAGGATATGATCGGAGAGGGAAATATAGCGAACTATCAAAAAAACTGTCAGCCCGCAGGAACCTTCTGAACGCGACTCGCACCGCTACCTACTGGAGTTTGTGGCCAGGACCGTCGTCGTCCCCTCCTGTCGCAAAAGACCGTCGGGTCCAAAGAGCGCCGCAAAGACATCTTGTTCGGTTTTAGCATCCAAGCCGGCGAACACGTCGTCGAGAATGACCAGGGGCTTTCTCGCATAAAGTGCTCGTGCCAATGCCTGCCACGAGGTCAGAATCAAGTATCCAAAGAAACTCCGGGTGGCTGTACCAGACGGCTTTTCTGACCACCACTCAACATGATTCCTTTGCTGCCAATCGTCGCGTTGTCTCCCCCAGGGAGCTGCGCGAAGTCCCGATCTAACCTGCAGGCCCTGACGACGGTGTCGTACCACTGGCCGTCGAACGGAGACTGCCCGAGAATATTGTTCTGGATGGTTGTGTTCACCAACCATGGGGCCTGGCCGCAGAACGCCACGTCCACGTCCTGGATGACGACCGTGCCCGTGCTTTGAGGAATCTCGCCGAGAATCGTGTGCAACAGGCTCGACTTGCCCGATGCGATTGGCCCGATTACCATCACGAACGAACCCCGCGGAATGGTGGCGTCCACGTTCCGAATCGCCGGTTTTGCAGATCGCTCCCAGCTCGCTGAACAGTTGCGCAACTGAATCATTGCATCTGGATCGACCTTCCCGGATACCACGTCTGTCATCAAGGTCTTCTCGTTGTCACTCTCTGACGAGCGCGTGGATTCCGTGGGCGACGGTCCACTGAGATGTGAATCGGTCGTGCTACAGCTGTCGTCGGGCAGCGGAATGCCGGCCTCCAACGCCAGATACTTTCGGATCCGTTCCAGACTGGTCAATGCCTGGACCAATCCCATCAAAGCGTCAATACAGCTGGCCACGGCCTGGCAAAGCAGAGAAAGGAGGGTCAGGGAAGTGTATGCGGTGGCAGCGGTTAGTGGGGTGGTATTTCGGACCATGGCGAGAATGCTGTAGGTGCCAAAAGAAAAGGGCGGTGCCATGGTGGTTGCCAGATACGCTAGAATGAGCAAGGAAGGTTAGAAGCAGGCCTCGTGGTGGTAGAGAGAGAGCGAGAGGGATCTGGAACCTACATAACGTCACCAGCATGACCAGCACTTCGCGAAATTTGATAGAGCTTTTGATCTCATACGTCCGCAGTTGGGTGATCACGGACTGGAGGATATCAGTTGCACCGGTTGCTTTAATTCCCTTGACGGAGTTGATCGCTGCCACTGTCGTCGTGATCCGGGTTTGCATCGCCTCAAGCCATAGCTTCTGACGCTCACCCATGTACCCGCTGACTTTGCCGCTGATGAGGAGGCACGCTGTGCAGTCAGTCGTCATGGTTAGCTGCTTTTTGTCTTGGGTTAGAAAGAAGGGATAAAGGGAGTACACATGGGAAAGACATCATTGGAAGATGCTATATACCTAGGACTACCGCGGCGGCTGCAACGGTCGATACGCCGATCTGGATATCCAGTAACCACAGAGATAGACCAATCTCGAGTAAGCTCGCCCACGTCTCATGGAAGCTCCGAAGTCCCGCCCCAATCCGCTCGATGTCAGCATTAATTAAAGTCAACGAATCACCTTTGGAAGGCGCCGAGATATTCAAGCTCAGGGTATGATCATAGATCAAAAGGATCAAGCCGCCGCGCACCATCACGACCGTCCGATAGGATCGATGATGAAACATCGCTGTCATCACCTGGAGAGCGCATGCTTCGATAAGCAAAACTAAGCAGACAGCAGAACAAGGTGGCTTGGCAACCCACTTACTGCGATACCGACGTAGACAATCCCGTAGGCTGCGATCAAGCCATACCCGACCTCTTTACTCGTAGGGGTTGTGGACTGTCCCAGAAAGCTCGTCACCCGACTGACGAGGAACGGCTGGGCATAGTTGACGCCTGTCAAGCACAGCCGCGGCAGGAGATTGGCAAGAAGTGGCCGCCTGTACACGGCCAGGAGCACTTTCAGGAGGCTTCGAGGTTGCTCTTTCGCGGCTATGCAAGAAAGCCGGATGGGATCAGTCTGGGTGCGATTGGCCTGACGTTACACGTTAACAGTGACAGGGGGGCTGCATTACCATGCTTCCACTTCTGACGGATCTCCTTCTTGGACCGTTCCAAACTGATATCCTCGTCGACCGCCAACAGATCCCCCGGTGTCAACGATCGCTTGTAGCCTGCCCACAGGAGGGGATTGAACCACCAGAAGGCACTTCGGTCGAAAATGCCGGCTGTCTGCTCCGGCGGCAAGGATCGCGCCAGGAGGCTTCTCTTCCCCGTGGCTTCCAGTACCAGCAGCACGAATTTGCAGACCACGAGTGCGATGAAGACGCTGGCAATGGCTACATTCCCCGGCATGTGGAACAGCGTGCGGGCTCGCGCCGCGTCCAAAGGAATTGTCCCCAGCAGATACACATTCAGGACCGTGGACGGGCGCGGTGAGCGGGTATGCTCCCGGTGTGAGACGAAGGCGAAGATGGGCGACACGGCGAAGCCGATTGCGATGGCTGCATTGGATAATCGGGTGGTAGACGTCTTGAGCACCAACGAGAGCACCAAATGTGTCAAACCGAGGAAGGTCCAGGCGAGCCAACCGAGCTATATGACGATGAGCATTTAGCCAAGCTGTCTCTCGAGCAAAAAGGCAGAAACCCTGACCAAGCACTCACTTGCTTGAGATACCACCGCGCCCCTCGAACTCTGAGTACTTTGGGTGCGGATTGAAGCTCCCAGAGTCGCCAGCAAGCCCAGCCGGTTGCGAACAACAGGGCAGGCAGATAGAGCACACTTTCTTCGAACAGCAGGGTGAAATCAAAATTGTTGTAACATCCGGACACCTGAGGGCCAAACACGTCCTCCACTTGAATCCAACATTGTTCCATGGCGTGGTCGTCTCCCTAATATCGAGTCCGGTGCGCCAACGTCTGCTTGACCCGGGAAATGGCAACAGGGAGAGGGAGAAGGAGAAGGGGAGGGGGAGGTGGAGGGGAAGGGTGATGAATGGGGGAACCGGAATACAGTTACATGAAGCAGATGAAAAGGGCGGTGTGTAAGACTAGGTAGATCAGCCTAGCGATTCTAGCGTTCTGTTATGCCGAGCTTCTTAATCTTCTGACAGGTATGATATCGGAAGAGCCTTATCCGCCGGGGAGGTGGTAAGATGATTGTGAGTGAGGTGATGTCGGGGTTGCAGTGAGGGGCCGATCCTTTTAGGGCTTTGCGATGTCCCTGACGCCGCGGCGAGGCTCCTTGCCCCGACGGTCTATAAATTCTGTACATTCCACCCACAAACCACCCAGGAACCACCCTAACTCGCCTCATTTACTCCCCATCTCCTCTGTGCTCCTCCGCAATGGCCATTCCAACACTGGACTTCGCCAAGTTCCATAGTGGTTCAGACGCCGAGCGTCGCGAATTCGCCTCTGCTCTCACAAAAGGATTCAAGCGCTACGGTTTTATCAAGCTCATCAATCACGGCTTCACCCGGGAGGAGACTTCACATTTGTTCCAATTGGTACACTTCTCTGCCTCTGATTCTGTTGGTTTCTATTGAGTTCTGTTGGACCCTGCGTTGACTGTTGGAATTGTGCTTCAGAACAAAGATTTCTTTGAATTACCCGATTCATACAAAGACCCCATTCAGAACAAAGAAGGCCCCAAACCGCAACGAGGCTGGAGTCGCGTTGGAGCTGAGAAGACGGGCCTCCTGAACCCCGGTGGGAAGACCAATCTGTCAAAGATTGATCAGCACGACCTGCAAGATGCCAAGGTGAGACAAAGCTCTACCCTGTCTACCCTCAGCCAGAGTCAGAGATTCACCCGAGAGATGCTGACACTGTATTCTGCGCCTAGGAACACTTTGACACCGGCCCAGCCGGGGACCAGGAATACCCGAATCAGTGGCCGGACGCAGAGCGGCTCCCCGGGTTTCGACCGTGGCTCGAGTCGTACTTTGACCGCAGCCAGGCGATCACGCTGGAGCTGATGGAGGCGTTGGAGCTGGGGCTGGGGATCCGACCGGGCGCGTTTGTGGAGTTGTGCCAGGGTCACGCCAGCGAGCTGCGCCTGAACCACTATCCGGCCATCGCGCGGCGCACGCTCGAGGCGGGCAAGACGAGCCGCATCTGGCCGCACACCGACTTCGGCATCATCACGCTGCTGGCCCAGGACGATCGCGGCGGCCTTGAGATCCAGGACGAGGCGAACCCGTCCGAGTTTCTGCCGGTGTCGCGCGAGGATCCCACTGAATTCGTCGTCAACATCGGCGACACCCTCGAGCGCTGGACCAACGGCGTCCTCCACGCCGGCTTGCACCAGGTCACTGCGCCGCGCGGCGAGAACGCCTCCCCTAGTAGCGACGAGGTCATCCTGCCCGCGCGAAGATCCATTGCCTTCTTCCTTAAGGCCCGCCGCGATATGTCTGTCGGTCCGTTGTTGCCTTTCGTCACCCCAGATCGACCGTCCCAGTATCAGGATATGACGGCTCTGGCGTATCAGCAGCTTCGGACGGGAATTGTGTATTAGATTGGGAACGCGATGAATTCGGTTGGAGATAGAAACGTTTGTCATGCTCGATAATGCTACATTCGATGAAGACAATATATCTTTGCAGTATTGTGTCATATGGAATGGAATGAAAGAGAACCTCTTGCTTGCTTTATATATAATAATAATTTGAAAGAAAATAGAATTCCTCTACTTGTTATTGTGCGATGTATGATCGAAGTAAATGCCTCTCTCGTGGCAATGTTTCGCTCATATGAACACAGTGCTCATGGTATAGTATCAGTATAACCCCGGATGAACCTCTCTAAATCCCAAATCAAATCGGGTTCTGTGCACTGCATTGTTTGAATGGACAATGAGCAGAAGGGGTGGTTTTTAACAGTCGTGTACATCAGGATGCGCTATTCATTAAAAACGAAAGATAAGGGGAAGAGAAAGACATTAAACCCCAACCTGACAAAACGGAAAGATATGGAAACAGGGAGAAAGTTGGGAATAATTCCGTATCATAGAGCATAGCCAGAGACATAGTCACCGTGTATGCGTATGCTACACCGGATAGACTGGCGTCTGGGCCTTCGCACAAGAAGTACCCACAAGCCGGTGACATGCAATGCCCTCAATTAGGAATATGAATTGTTGCTAGCGGGCTACACCGCCGGCCTGCACAGTTGCAGCAGGTCCTCAGTGTCATATAAGTAGTCACCGAGGCCGCCTTCGTCGACCGTCTCAAACGCAAAAGTCTGCGACACGTCGGCGCCCTCCAGCACGTCGAACACCTCTTTGGACAGCACCTGGCTCAGGTTCCGCAGGTACGACCCGCGGTGTTCTTGCAGGTAAGCCAGAAAGATGCGCATGGTATCGCTGGGAAGCTTTTCCACTCTGTGATTGCGAGAATCCCCAAGTCAGTTCATGCCCTTTGGCCTGAAATTCCTCCCTCGTTCTCGTGGATGGGACTTACTGGTCAATACTGATGGAGTACCGCCCGGCGCAAGGGATCAGAGCCAGTATCCCTCCCGGGAATGTATGCTCGAAGGGATACCAGTTGCGCGCGCACGAGAGGCGGTTGCGCAGCCGGGTTAATTTACGCGTGTACACACACTCGTTGGTCGAGCGGTTACTTGCTTCAGCTGGGACGGGCGTCAGGCCCGGGTACAGCATTTGCATCAGATCGGTTAAAGCCTGCGTCTTGGATCGGTGCTTGGGGCGTGGTTTGCTTGAGGGCCGTCGACCCCCCGCGGTCGATGTTGCGCGGATCGCATCGCCATCGCCGCCGTCGCGGAGCAGTTGTAGGCGAGCGCAGTCATACTTTAGCATGCGCTTAGACCCTCGACAGGCCAGTTTGGCAGCGATATGATCCTGCTCCAAGCGGGTCCGGTGGGTTAGAAGACGAACCAGGTAATAGCGTCGGAGGATATGAGAGAGGGTGGTGATGGAGTCGAGTTGGTCGAGGGCTTGTACGGTTGTAGCCAGGTCATTCCGAGGCCCGCCGGCCGTCGCAACAGGGAGAACAGAGGATTTGCGCGCCAGATTAAGGGCATGCCGTAATTGATTCAGTGCATCAGGGCTTCCAATGGCGTAGAACAGGCGGGTAAAGAGCTCAGCCACCTGCCGTTTGCTGTTGGGGAGTTGCTGGCTGAACACGGCGAAGACCTGATCCGCCGACGGTAGATGATCGGGCACGCAGTACACTCCCGTCAGTGATGGCAGCGCTCCGGCGTAGTCGACCTCCATAGCTTGGCTCCCTGCTTCCTCAACCTCAGCGCTGGGTTGCAGCGCCACTGGAACCCCCCCTTCCCCCTTGTCAGCCCTATCCCTGGACCGGGGAGGGGGAGACGGCGCTGGGGGCGTGGGGGGAATGGCACGACTGCGCCCGCTCTCACAGGCCGGTGAGCCCTGGGCGTGCGCTGCGGGAGAGACCGGCTTTGGCGTGAGTCTTACTGGGAAGGGGGATGGTGAGGGGGTCCCCTGTCGTTGTTGCGGAAGCGAGCTGTGTCTGACGCCTCTATCGGGTGCTGGTGAACGGGAGATGGCTGGGGTGAGAGGGGGGTCGTTTCGCACCGTCCCTGGCCGAGCATCAGTGCTGCCTACTAATGTTGCTGACGTCGGCCGCGCTGCATGCTCCTTGGAGTTTGTGGCCTGTCCAAGCGCATGACCGCCATGAGTTAGGTCAAAAATCTCGCCGTGTTCAGCAAGTAGATCCAAGTCCACAAAGTCTAAAGCCGCTGGGGTCAGCTCCTCATTGGGGTCTTGACCCTGCACCCCTGGCCAGAGAGGCACACTAGTCGGTGTCTTCGGACTCCATCGCACGGGCGTGTCGTTGAGACCCCCTTGCGAGGACCACCACGGCATCTCATCGTTTGCGGCAGACTCCATCCCCGTGCATGGATCCAGATCCCCGCTTTGCTGCAGCATCTCCAGATCCTCTGGCAGGAGGACACCAGGGGACAGAGCCGGCCACTCCGCCGTCGCGCACGAACTGGAGGATGATGTGGAAAGCGTCAGGTCCAGTGACCCAGCATTGATATCGTGGAAGTGTCGCAAGAATTCGGCCGGCGACGATGGTCCATGGACCTCGACCTCCGGATCTCCCGCGGCGGTCTTAAACGCGGGATGTTCTTCCAGACTGGTTCGTCTGGGCGTTGGCGCATTTCCCAGCTCCTCTGCGGCGACAAGCCTTTCCTTTGCCTTATCCGAGGCCGACAGGGAGCCGATGCAGTGTAGAATGTCGAGTAGCTTTTCCTTGGCGATGTTCCTCGCCTCGACAAATGTACTGGAGCAGGAGGAGGTGGCCAGCGCATCTAGGAGTTTCTCGCGGAAGTCTACGCAGAGCCGGTCCATCAACACGAGGTCATGGCAGTCCTGCTGGGGGCTGGCTGGCGTCGTACGCGATCCCTCCACGAGATGCATTATTGTCTCGTTGGCCCTACAGTATGCGGAAAAGATAAGGAGGAGAAGGGATGCGATGTGTGATACGTCTCGTGGAACACTGCAGAACCACACAAACCCTAATCACAGAGCGCAGAGTCAAAATCCAGATCAATGCTCACAGCTTGCACGGCTTGCTCGAGCCTGGACTAAATAAAAAACCATGTCTGGGATCAGAGCATTCTTATTATCCCTGCCTTTGGTATTCAATCCTCGATGACTAGGTAGCTATGCTATCGAGACGTTGAAGCACCATTATTGGCCTCTTTTCATGTCCGACGGTTAGTTCACCAAGCAATGCTAGACCACACCAGGAAGGCGCACCTCTGCTGCTGACGCGGACATATCCGGAGGCTCAGCACTTGTGCGAAACGTTTCTGCAGAGAACCGAGCCTCATAAGCCCCAGGAGTCCTCAGGCAGTATGCAGCTTATTCTTATTCTTCTTATTCTTCTGCTCTTCTTCTTCCAGGCGCACGGACCCATGGAGTTGTTCCGTCCCCCTGCATCTGCAGATACTAAGCCGAACAAGGCTGGCTTCGGTCATCTCAACCCCGGTGTGCT